CTTCTGCAGCAAACCATGACTATTCACACTAAATGGGATAAATGAAGGCCGTCCACGGCCTCACATTGGTTCCTGACAAATTCTGCCGCCAACTGCGTTACGAAAAACCCTTGAGCTCCAGGGAGCTTTGGCATTTCGGAAGCGCAGATAAGAAATTGTGAGCCTGTACCACTCGCGCGCCGAGCTTGAGGAAAGGGAGGCTCGGCGTGAGGGGCGCTCGTCCCAAGTCGGCGGACACGCTGCTCCGCGTCGAGCCGGCCTCTAAGCCCAGGGGGGCTCGGAGCGCCCCGGTTCGGAGCGCGCACAGGCCCCCCGGTCTCCCCGCTCCCCGCGGCGTACCTGCTCCGGACGCTCGTGCCGCGGCGGGCCGCGCACGTCCTGGATGGCCTCGTAGACGTTCTCCGAGTCGCTGCGCGCCAGGGGCCGCGGGCACACCCAGGAGCCCGCCACGCTGCAGGCCTTGAAGCTGCCCGCGCTCCCGAGCAGGCCCGCGGGTGGCGCGGCGGCGGCGCGCGCCAGGTCGTCCAGGGACTGCGCGGGCCGCACGGGCGCCGCGGGCCGCGTGTACAGGCAGGCGGGCAGGCCGGGCGTCAGGCTGCTGCGCTGGGTCGCGGCGCCGCGCCGCGCAGGGCCGCACAGGGAGCTCACTCGGCCCCGGGGCTCGGCGGGCGCGCCGTCGGGGCCCGCGGGCGCAGAGGCGCTCACGAAGCGGTAGTCGTAGGAGAGCGGCTCCGGGGCTGAGAGGCCCGGCTGGGGCGTGGGCGGCGGGGCGGCGGCAGGGTCGCCGAGCGCCGGCAGCTCGCGCACGTACTGCGCGGGCAGGTAGAAGGGGCGGCCGCCCGGCTCGCGCCGAACATGCCACCAGTGCTCCGTGCTGCGGCGCAGCAGCCGGTAGCGCTCGTTGGGCTGGATGGCGATGCGGCGCCCGTCCTTGCCCGTGTACTCGAAGGGATGCTCCACCAGCACGTACACGTCTCCCTCGACGTCCGCCGCCATCGCGGCCGCCGCGGCGTTTCCCTGTGGGCAACAGGAGGAGGGGCAAGGATGTCAGGGCAGCGGAGGCCGGGAAGCGTATCGCGCGAGGGGGATGGACAAGCTGGGTTCGAGTCTCGATGCTGCACTCGTCCAGTGCGTTCCGGCCTCAGTTTTCCTATCTTTAAAACGGAGGACTTGGATAAAATAATCTCGAAGGTTCCCATTCTTACGCTCAGTGATGGAATTATGACAACCTTTTCATTCTGTGGCACTGATGATAAGATTTGAGCCTTGCTTCAACGCCTTAGTGGGGAGATTGTGGGTAATACTGGTCCAACTTTACAGCGAGAGAAGCCTTGGCTCAAAGATCTGGAGTGATTGCCCTCGAAAAAGTCGACACCACATTTGCCTAAATGGAACCTCAGTTTCCCTGTCTGTGAAGTGGGAAGAACAGCCCATTCCGCCGCCCCGCCTCCGCCCCATGCCTCCAGCCCTCAGGGAATCCGCGTCCACAGCGCCTCTTCCCTCCAGGCGTTTGCGCCCGGGCCCGCGGGGTCAGGGGTTGGGGTGTGCAGGCTCTGGGAGGGGCCCCCGCGCCGCTCTACCCTGGGAGTGCCCCTGTCCCGATTAGTCCAAGGGCCTTGGCGTAAGGGCCCACGACTGCCAAGGCCGGGGAACCGGTTCTCTTGGTTTCTCTTTCCTTCCCCAGCGGCTTCACCACAGGCATGAACCCGGAGCCTGGCCCGCCCAGACCGGCCCGCACCGCCCCCTGCTCTCCAGCTCCCACCCCCACCTCCCGAGAGAGGCTCGGATCTCGGGCCTGTCCACCTGCTCTGTGATCTCCACATTGCCCCATGAAAGTGGCCCGTAGAGAATGCACGTTCACAGCGACTACCCGTGCGGTGTCCTCAGGGCCCCCCAAAGCTCTCCTGGAGTGGTTACCACCTCTCACCCTCCTCCCTGCCGGCTTAGCCTGGCTCCTGGTGTGTCGGGGGAGGGTCAGAGCCTAACTAAATCTGCCTGTGTCCCTCATCAAAGCCAGGAATTGGTGGCCTCCTCTGGAAGTGGCTGGTCCCTCCACACCTCCTGCCCCACAACGGTGGCCCGGGGCCAGCACTGGGAGCTCGGCCGCTTGCTGACACTGAGGGACGCGAGGAGCAGGGTCCAGCCGCGGGCGCACAGCGCTCTCTCTACTTTCTCAAGCTGTCTTTCCTCGACGGGGGAAGGGACGTAAACTGAGTTACTGAGCACCCTGGGCCCTGGAGGCGGGGTCGGCGAGCTGCTTGGAGCTAAGCCAACAAGCCCCAGGGAGGACACCCCTCCTCTCCGCCTTCCTCTGGACCCCAGCGGCGCACTCACGTTGGCTGGGCGGCCTCGGAGCCCATGGGCTGGCTGGGCGGAGCCGGTGGATGGATGCGAGTTAGGTCCCTGCCATCTCCTTGGGCGGGGCTTCCAAGGGCTGGGCTGGAGAAACCCCGTGGAGCGGGAGCTGGCAAGGGGAGAAAAGAGAGAAGGAGACACTCAGGAGGGCTGTCCCCAACCCCCAAAGTAGCTGTGTCTGGGAGGGGTGAGGAGGAGCCTAAAAGAGTCGGCCTGGGCCGTTGGGGACATTGGGGGCGGAGCCGGGAGAGAGAGAAGGCATGAGGGAGGGGGCAGGGGCAAGGAGGGCTGCGACTGAAGGGGCGCAGGCAGGTTGCGAGCAGAGTCGGGAGAGGGTAGGGTCCCGCCCCCGCCCGCCCCGCCCCCACCACGCGGGATTTGTCGTCCGCGAGCCTCTGCGCCCCCCGGATGCGCTGCTCTGGGACTGCTCGAGCCGGGCGCCGTGTCTCGTCCGGGCGTTCCCAATCCGAGCGAGGCCGTTTGCACCCTGAATCACCAGCTACGAGCCCTTTCCAGCCGGATTGCAGGCGCTACCCGCTCCGGGCCCACCTCCGCCCTCCCAAGGCCCTTTCCGGGCGTAGCACGGAGGGCCTGGAAAAACTCGGAGCGGGGTTCCCACGGTAGGGACGCCCACCGGAGCGCAGAGTCTCGGGCTCGGTGGGGCGGGGACCCGCGCCTCGGCTCCTTCCCCGACCCTGGCGGAGCGAAGAGAAGAGGAGAGATGGGAGGAGCGGGGAGGATCCCTGGAGCGCTGGGACGGACCGGTCGCCAGGAGGTACCCTGGGTCCACTGCCCGGGCGACGCAAGCCACAGCGGCTCCAACGCTTGGGTCGGCATGGGGGGCCTGGGCCTGGGCCCTTCCCGCCCCCAGACGGAGGGCAGCCCTTCGCCTCCACCCTCCTCCCGGGGCGGGGGATCGGGCCCGCGCAGCTCCCGCCCCAGCGCGGTGCGAAGGGGAGCAGGCGCGCGGTGCTCCCTGGTGAGGACCCGCCACCTGCGGCACCCTCACCCCCAGCTCAGCACCCTCCTCTCTGTCCGGCCCGGCCCCGGCACCTCTGGGTGTCTGCTCGCTGATCTCGCCTCCACTTGTCCCGACAGGCGCGCGTGGGCTTGGCGTCCGGCGCTCCCTCCTCCACCGCCCAGCTCCCGCGCTGCCTTGTTTCCTGTTCAACAATATAGCGAGGGAGGCACCAGCCGAGAGCGCCCGTCAGAACTTCCTCCCGGGCTGGGGCTGGGCTGCGGCTGCGAGAGACAATCCCCGGTGTCCTGGCTTCCTGTCCCCTCTGGGCCGGGCCAGCGCCCCAGGAGCAGAGACGCCACCCTCTCCCCCAGCACCTCCCGGGATCCTGGGCCACACCTGGTTGTCTCCCGGAGGTGGAGGCAGCAGGGCCAGGATGGTGGGGGGAGGGGGGAGGGAGCCTCCTCACCAACCTCTGGCCAGACATCCCTCCCACTGCTTGGTTCTGTGCCCCCTGCCCACCTCAACATCCTGGCTGGACTCAAGATCCTCACGTTATCTGGGTATCTCAGTTTTTTTTCCTGTAAAGGGGACAGTAACACCTACTTCACTGTTGATTGTTGAGATTAAATGAGATGCACTAAGCACAATATATTGTTATTACCACGTTATTGTTATAAGGACATACATTAGATTAGTTATTATTATCTCTCCTTTTCTTATGACATGAGCGGTCCTCCTGTTTGGGGCTGGATTGAGGTCTCCCCCCTCCTTTAGGCAGGAGGGGGCGGGGACTTGTGTCCTCAGGCACCTTGCTGAGGATGGAGGCACCAATTCCAGAGGCAGGGCAGCACCCAGGTCATGCGCCCGGGCCCTCCCCTGGGCTTGTCTCTCCCCAACACTCCAACTGGGTTCCCCTCATCTTCCTGGAGCCCGCCACTGACTGCCCCCCCCCCCCGCCCCCGGAGGTGAGGCCCTTGAGGGAAACTGGATGCTCCCTTGTGGGCTGAAAGGCATCTTCAAGGACAGGAAACTGCACACCTGAATGTCTTTCAGTCCCATTTTCCTGAGAATTAGTCTGTTTCCTTCTTCTGTCCTTACAGTGGGCAGTGATCGCCTTCCCCCTGTGGCCTCCTGGGCTTCTCCTAGAACTTGAGAGGAAGGCTGGCCGCAAAGTAGAGTCCACTTTGAGCCCTAAAACCATGATCCCTGACTAGGTCTTCTCAAACAGCCTGGCCCTGCTGAGCCCCTTCTCTTGCCCTGGATAACACAGTGGAAAATACAGTCCTGAGGTCTCACGCGTTCCAGTGTCAGGGGACTGTGCTTCGACATTTAAGGCACAGGAAAAAAGCCACCATGGTGGAATTTCAGGCATCAGCTTCAGTTGTTCTGTACGAGTGTGTGTGAGTAACCCTCCCCACAGGCCCCGAATCCTATCCCAACGACTCTGAGGAGTGCAAGGATGGGATAGAGCCTAAGCATTGTTCCCTCCCCACCTCCCCTCTTCTCCCTGTGCAATCCTGGCACACAAGCCCCCTGCCTGCAAGTGTTTACCACTAGCCACTCCCCCACTACCCCTGTGCCCAGGAGTTGACTGACAAGGGAGTGGTGGCCTCTCAGACGGTAATGGATGGCCCATGGGCGCCCAGTCAGCAGCAGCATTAGGATTCAGAAGCGAGACCAGAGATTAGAAAGATCAGGTCTTTACTGCAAAATCATTCAAAAATCACCCGGCAGCAGTTCCTTCAATACATTGCAAAGCACTTCTCAGGGCCAGGGCCCCTCACAAGAAACAGTTTATTGCATAAAATGACATTTTAAAAATAGTGTGGGCACTACTGAGGTTCTCATCAGCTTTCCATTGGAGGTGAGGGGGTAAAAATCAACTCATCTGAAAGCATTAGCAGCTTTTGGTATGGGGAGAGGGTCAACTCTAATGCTACCAACCCCAGGGTGGGGGGCAAGCTCCTCTGGGGCTCACTCCTGCTGCCCCCAGGGCACCCTCTGGAATACGGAATATACTCACAGGCCCAAGAACGCAGGTGCGGGGCAACTGCGGCTCTAATCAGGCCACGTTTGTGGCGAGGCATTAATGCTGGCTATGGGGTGGGTGGGATGGGCATAAGGATCCACCTTCTGGTTTAGGAGGCGTTGACGTGCTGGGCACAGGTGCGCACCATCTTCTGTGATGGGCACAGCGAAGCTGTGGCAGCCCCCTTGCCCCCTCCGCCTTCCTACTCCTTCTCTTTCTATTGCACAACTTATCCAGCTCCACAGGGCTGGGCAGGTGACTCAGCAGCCAGATCACCCCGAGAGAGAGGAGGGACAGGCAGTCTCCACCTGGGGCCCCCAATCCAAGCTGAGAGCAGACAGGAGGGCCAGAGGACCCCAGGGCTGAGCTGGGTCTGCAGGATCCAGGAGAGGTGGCGGAAGGCAACAGAGAAATCACACCCAGATTCCTCTCAACCCCCAAAGGTCTAACTATCACTTTGAAAACAATTCCAGGCTCCTGCCCCATCCCAAGACCCCTTCAAAAGGCAATCCTGCTCCAATGAAACTTCCCAGTCTCTGGCGGCGCCCCTCCTGGGCCAGTCCACTGAAACGGTGAATTCATGGCTTTGTAAACAAGGCGGAGCATCCTTCTGTGAGGGCGGCTCCTCACGCATGTCCCTGTGTGGCTCAGCAGTGGGGCCAGCACTCTTCGTGGAAGGACCGTGTGGGGCTCTCCGCCCTCTGTGGGCCCAGCCTCCCTCTGCCCCAGCAGGGCTTGGTCAGGCAGCAGCGTCCTGCCTGCCTGCCTGTGGTGGGAGTGAGGAGGGCGAGGGGCTGAGGGCTGGGCAAGATGACGACCCTTCCCTGGACCAAGGAAGGCTCAAAGTGCTGACAGTGCTGGTCTGAGTCATTGCCCTTCTCCTGCGGGGACCTAGAGCCCAGGCTCCAGCAGAGGTGGGGCTGTGACACGGAGAAGGGGGATGGGCTCTTCAGGTGAGGAGCACGGGGCAGGGGGTGAGGAGGAGGGGGAGGGGTGGACAGTGGTCCTCAGGCCTGAGCCCGCCGGCCCCACGGGTGGTTTGGCACATTGCACTTGAGCTGTCAGCAGTGGGTACCCAGTGAGGGGGAGGAAAGGCACCTGGACCAGCTGTGGGCTCTGTCCCCACAGAGGCCTGGCTGCCTGGGCCCCTGCCCCCTGCAGGCCAGGCCCAAGCCCTTCCTGCATGTCTACTCAGGGTGAGGACGCCTGGACGTCTTGGGTGACTTGTGTAGGGTCAAGAATAAAAAAATATTTTCTGTTGTAATATGAAGGGAAAGAACCCACCTTAAAAAACTAGACCTTTTAATCAGGAATGTGGGATTGCAAATGCGCCCCGGTCTTGTCTCCACAGTGTCTGAGCAGCCCTAATGGAGGAGGTGCCCGTCAGGGAGGTGAGCGGGGCTTGACTAGTGCAAAGCTCCCCTCTCTGCTCCCCCTCCGCCCTGGGACAGACGGGTGGGGGTGGGCACTGGGGGATGTCACCAAGGACCTCTGGGGCTTCCTCTGGCAGACTCATGCTCTGGTCACACCCGAGAGTCTTCCTGACAAGGGAGATGGCTGTGACACCTGAGAGGGCAGCCTGGGCGGATGCTCCTGCAGCCCGGGTGGGGACAGGTTGGCTTAGGTGAGAGTGTTCCGCTCTTGGTACTTGCGCCGGCGGGCACAGCGGGGGCAGCCCTTCTTCACCACGGCCTGGCAGCTCTGGTGGAAGACGGTCTTGCATTCGCCACACCTGGGAGAGAGTGGCAAGGGCTGCTGGTGCCAGTGGGCTGGGGCCACCCCTGGCCTGAGTCCGGCCAGTGCTCCTGACTAGAGCCCACTGCAAAGCTGTGTCCTACCTGCAGCCCGAGGCACGCAGGCACTACCTCTCCACTCTGGGACCAAAGGTTCCTGCACCGACACTTACCCCTAAGTCCCACACTGCACGCTCATACTCTGTGCTCTGTTCATTCTCTATAAATGCTGCTTGAAACTCATGGAATGGTTTCTTGCCTGTGTTTAAGACACTCAGGAGTTTAAAAAACTCAGTCCCAGATCTGTTCGGGGGCTGAATCCAGGCTAGGGGACACCTACTGAAAATGAATTAACACCCCCGCCAGTTCAGTTTTCTGCTCCCACACGGGTTGGCGCGGCAGCTTGGTGGATGCCTTTTTCCATTTAGAGGCTTCTGATAACATGCGATGACCGGGGACAAGAACGATCATTATAGGAGCAGAGGCAGCGGCAGGCAGCAGCCCCCAGGGGCCCACCTGTGCTGGGCCTTGCGCCAGCACTCCAGGGCAGTAACTCCCTTCCTCCCTCCTCAACCCATTTGTAGATGACAAGACTGAGGCCCCGACTCAAAGAGCCAGCAGCTGCCTCTTCTCTTGGAAGACGGATGCTTAGTAGAGGCAGGAGGTTGTCCCCTGAGCTGGAATGGAACTGGCCATGACTGTCCAGGCGTCAGCTGCCCTGGACAACCTCACCAGCCAGTGGCACTGGCACAGAGAGGATGTTCAATATGTTCCCACACAATGGCGCTGGGCCTGCCTCCCTGGGACATCGGGGCCAACTGGGGTTGGGGGTGGAGCGGCTGCCTGGGTGTCCCACATACCTGACTGTGGTGTCAAACTCAAAGGGGAAGATAATGTCATGGTGGTGGCAGATCTGGCAGATGAAGCCGCGCTGAGTGCACAGGTCGCAGTGGTAAACGTGCTGGGAGGCGAATTCGATGAGGGCCTTGAGAAATCCTTCATATGTCCCCTCGGCGATCTGTGGAGGGCGAGCGCAGGCCGCCAGGCTTGTTAGGCAGCCGTCCCGAGGCTCAGGCTGCGGGTAGTGCGTGGCCTGCCCCGCTCCCGGCACCCTGCCTCAAGGCCTCCTGCTGGGGAGAAGCTCCTTCCCACAGGGCAAGTACACGGCCCGAAGCAAGCTGAGCAAGGCGGGCGCCCAGCCCCTGGACGGAGGTCACCGGGGATAACGGGGTTGACAGATGAGACCCCAATCCACCGCAGTCTCCCTCGAGGAAAGAAATGTCCCAAACTCTCACTCCGGTGGCCTTTCCTCCCTCTGCCCTCCAGGCCAGGGACGAGTCCAGCTGAGGGAAGAACCCCTGGGCTTATTCCCGGGGGGCCAGGGCTCAGCACTCCCCCCAGGAAAGTGTGGGACGGGGGACCCCGGTCTGAGGTGCTGAGAGCCTGAGACTGCTGTCCTGCCTCAGCAAACTGCAGCCCCCAGCTCACTTCTGGTTCCTCTAGGAATGAGGGCCCTCTGGAGGTCCGGGCGGGGGAACATTCTCACCTGCTGCAGGTCAGCGACACTGTACTTGTGGGGAGACTCCAAGAGATAGTTCCTGTGGTTGAGCCTTCAGAGAAAACACAAGAGATTCCCTGGAAGGGTTGCCAAGACCTGGGCCAAGCTGTGTTCTCACTCTGTCAGCTGCTAACCAGCCACAAACACCTCCCTCCCAACGGCAGTCAGCGGTCAGCAGCCGGGGCTTGGGGCTCGGCACCTGGGCTTCCAAGTGACTAGCTGATGGCACATTGGGCAAGTTACTTAACCTTTCTGAACCTCAGGTTTCCTCACCTGAGAAACAGAGCTGTTCTCAGGATTAAATAATTTATCTAAAGCATTTGGCACAGTGCCTAGCACATAGTAAACAATTAAAAATTATCCACTATAGTTAATAACATCGTATTATATAACTGACATTTCCTAAGAGTAGAACTTAAATGTTCCTATATGTGTAAATAAGTAAAGTGAGGTGATGGATGTGTTAATTAACCAGATGGGAGGAGCCCTTTCACAATCTATCCATATATCAAATCATCACGATGTACACTTTTCAGTTTTACAATTTTGTCACTTATACGTCAATAAAGCAGGAAAAAACTTTTTAAATTTAAAGGTATAAAAAATAAACTATCTATAAAACAAATGATGAGGATGATGATGAAAGTTAACACTTGGTACCAGGAACTGGACTAAGAGCTTTACATATATTCACTCATTTAATTCTCACAATAATCCTAAGAGGTTGGCACTATTATAATCCGAATTTTGAGAAGAGGAAATGGAGGCACAGAGAGGTTAAACAACTTGCTTGTGGTCACACAGCTAGCTAGTAAGTGGCAGAGCTGGAATTGAATGCAGGAGTCTGATTCCAGAGCCTGCATCCTTATCCACCCGATGAATGCCTACAGATGTTAGCTGTTATTACTTCCACTGTTACATACCAGGGACAGTGCTGGGGACAGAGATGCACAGGACATGGCCTTTGCCCTCCTGCAGCCCCCGGCCTAGCTGAGGGACACACATTCAAGCCTCCAGTTTTGGTGCCATGTGGGAGGAACTGAGACATGTCCTAAGCACAGCAGATCCCGTTTCAGAGGCGGGTGGAGGGCGGGGGCAGCGGTGAGAGGCAGAGGACGAGGGCTCAACCGCCAACCCGGCTCTAGTTTCCGCCTCCCCAGCAGCAGAGATCCCAAGGGCTACGTCCGGAGGGAAGCAGAGGAAGCACCTGCAGAAACTCCCCTGGTACAAAAACCTGCCTGGGTTGCTCTGTGTGTCTGGGTGGTACTGGGGTCAGGAGGAGAGTCTCCGTGTCTGAGGAAGCTCGGGAACCTGTCCTAGGATGCCCCGGACGTCTGGGGGCAGGATGATGCCAGGCCCTGGGGCATTTGGAATGGGGGCTCGGTCATGCCCCATCCCAGGGCCTCAGTTATGGTCCAAGGGGATCCCGATCCAGGGCAGAAAAGGCGAGTTCCACCAAGCAGCCAGGCAGGCCACGTTGTGCTGTGCGGGGCGAGGATGCCGCCGACAGGCCACTCAGTTCACAACGCTGGTTTCCCCGGTAAATGTCCAGCTTTCTGGGAACAGGAAGCTGCCATTTATCACCAGAAAAACGCAGGGGGCGGGTGGTGCACAGACTGTCCCTGAGCTGCAGGAAGGGTGGGGCTGATGCGGATGGAGAGCCATCTCTGTCATCTGCCCTGTGTCCACAGTCACGGAAGCCCTGGGGGCCAGCCAGGCCCAGGGCCCTCCCTGCAGCCAACGTCCTGCTGTGGGGTGAAGGCAGGCAGGAGTTCCTTCCCAGTGGCAGCCCTCTGGCTGAGTCCCCTGAGAGAAAGGGGACCTACAGCTGGTGCCTGCCCAGTCCTTCTCAACCCTTCTCGCCCTCTCAGCCTCCACTCTGGCCTCCTCCCCTCCTGGGCTAATTATGACCACGGCCCCTGGGCCCCACTGCTGCCCACTGGTCTTTTCTAAGCCTCTGATCAGACGGTCCTGTGCTCAAAACCCTTCAGCGGCTCCGCACAGCTGGCAGAATAAAATCCAAATGTCTTTGGTGCAGCACGCATGGCCATCGAAGTCTGGCCCCACACCCGCAGTCCAGAGCACTGAGCCCCTCACGGTCCTGGGAGCCACATCCCGCCCCTCCACGCCATGGTCCCCTTGGCCAGGAAAGCAGCGCTTTCCCTTCCCCTCTCTTCTCTTCAGCTCTTTTCGGAAATTCCAGTTCACTCCATCCGTGCTGCCGCCGTGTGGAGACGCCTGTCATCCCATGTGCAGACAGAGCGGGGTCTGGGCTCCAGCAGCACTGATGGGGGCCAGCTGCAGGAGGGTCCATCTGAGCTTTCTCTTGATTCTTTCATACTGTTTGAATATTTTTTTTTTTTTTAAAGATTTTATTTTTTCCTTTTTCTCCCCAAAGCCCCCCGGTACATAGTTGTATATTCTTTGTTGTGGGTCCTTCTAGTTGTGGCATGTGGGACGCTGCCTCAGCGTGGTTTGATGAGGAGTGTCATGTCCGCGCCCAGGATTCGAACCAATGAAACACTGGGCCACCTGCAGCGGAGCGCGCGAACTTAACCGCTCGGCCACGGGGCCAGCCCCACATACTGTTTGAATATTGACTCTCTTTGTAAAGAAGAAACACATTTTTTTAAGCGGAAAAAAGAACTCTGCAAACCCTCCGCTCAGATGTCATCTCCTCTGGGAGCTTCCCTGGCCCTCTGGGTCCTGACAAGGCTGGGTCAGGTGCCATCCCTCAGAGCACATGCCATGCTGACCCAGGGCCATCTGAGTGTATGTGTCTGTGTCCCTTCTCAGGGACTCTGAGCCCTCATGTGGCCCTCACCACAACTCTAAAAGGCCACATGAACACAGGGATCATTGGCCTATTTTATAGGCAAGAAAGCTGAGGCTCAGAGAAGTGAAGAAACTTCCCTGAGTCACCCAGCAGGTCTGGGGCTGGGCAGGGGCTGCCCCTGAGCTCTCTCCCCTGCCCCACGCTGCTTCTAAGCAGGTACTGCCAAAGGTGGGCCCTGCTCTCCTGAAGGCTAGGTGCGCAGTAGGTGTGCAGAACTGCACCCAAGGATGGGAACAGCAGGGCCAGAGGAAAAAGGCAGGACTGCCCTCAGTGCCCAGCACAGGTCAGCTCAGACAGGTTGGTAAGGCTGGTGACCAAACAATCTCAGCAGGATGGGGACAGGGAGTGAGGCCGTCACCTAGGACCCACCCTGCAGGCACCTGGCCTACTCAGGTCTGCAGAGACCCCTCGACTGGGCAGGGTGATGAGGTCCCACCTGACCCAAAATTTCACCACCCTGGCCAGGGGGCGGGAGGGCACTCTCTGGAGCCCCGGGTCCCGGAATCTCAGAAAGGCTGGGAGCGAGTGAAGACCCAGGTGCCAGCTGATGATTGAGATGGACAGAGCCTCCCTGGGAAGCAGCCTTCGAGGGCCCCTCATGGTGGCCCCAGAGGGCTTTCTGTTCTTCCAGGCCCTGCGGAGGGGACGAGGGCGCAGCCGGCTGCCCTGGAAGCCTGAGGGCCAGCCTCTCTCCCTTGCTAAGAGAGCTCCCGGCAGCAGCCCCCTCCTTGAGCTCCGTGGACCTGCACTGGGCACCGCCTTGGCCCTGAGGAGCCGTGCAGGAGCGGCTCTGGGAGAACGGGAGCCAGGACTGAGGAGGCACAGCCGTCAGACAGGTGGTCTCTGCCAGCCGTGTGGTGAGGAGTGGCTGGAGGGGGAATATGGAGGCACTTGTGAGCTGATCCAGGTCTCCAGGACCCAGCAACGAAGTCCCCCTGGGCGGAGGCACCACCTCCTCCGCCTGAGGTCTGCGCTCCTGAGGGCCCCAGGCCAGCACAGCCCCGTAGAAGGCGGCAGCCTGGGCCACGACCTGGGGCTTGGAGGGGTTTATGACGGCACAGAAAGACCCTCTAAGTCCATGCTGAAGTCCAGCGTCATCTCCCAACTCTGAGCAGACCCCCTGGCCTGGGTACTGAGAAGCTTCTTGAAGGGCATCCTGTGGGTCCCACCCCAACCTCACCCTCTTCCGAGGATTTGGGAGGGATGCTGCCATGGACAGCAGCAAAGCAGCGATGGGAGGGAGGACTGGCCAGGGAAGGGAGGAGCCAGGGCGACACAGCCCTCGCTTGCCTCTCCAGCCTTCCCCTCACCGCTCTCCCGTCCACTTCCCCCCCCATCCCCCGAAGTTCTCCCGGTTCCTTCTAGGATTGGGGTCTTTGTTCATGGCCTGTGTGTGTCTTTCTTTCCATCTGGAACACTCTTTCCTGCTTCTCCTCCACTTTCTCACTCTTACTCATCCTTCAGGCCTCACTTTAGATGTCAGTTCCTCTGGGAGGTCTTCCCCTCTCGGCCCTCCTCCAGTCCAGGTTAGCCATCCCACCTCCCTCCCGGCCTCTCCCCAGGGTGTAGTGCTGGCTTACTCCCCTGCCTTCCTTCAAGAGGGTGGGCCCGGGTCTACCTTGCTCAGTGTTGTATCCCACACGCCTAGCCCAGTGCTGGGCACACAGTATGTTCTTAATAACTATTTGTCAGATGAATGAATGAATATGTAAACAAAAGCCACTCTGAAAGCATGTGATAATTTTCTAAACGAGATGGGAGGATCTCCGTCCAGTCCTGGCATTTCTCCCAAGAGGACACCTTGCGTGGGCACTGGCCCATGTGTGTGTGCCTGCGCGTCTGCGTCCAGGGTGCTCACCTCTTGCTTAGCTCCTTCAGGGCTCCACTTCGGCACAGGCCCAGGTAATCCCCCAGAAGCTTCAGCTGCTCCCGGCTCCTTCCAATGAGGCGCATCCGCTCCACGTGCTCGTAGAGGGACGCGTTCACCAGCTGCAGGTTGATGAGGGGCTGGGCCCGGATCTGCGTCAGGAACTTCAGGGCCTGCCGGCAGATCTGGGGACACCACCAGGCAGCAGGGGTGGGACAGAGTGGCCATTGGGTGAGCAGCTCAGGGCCAGGCACTGTATTATTTACTCATTCCTTACCCTGCAACCACCCTCCAAGGGAAGTGGTGCCATCTTCGTTTTATAGATGAGGAAAGTGAGGTTCAGAGAGATGGAGTGACTTGGCCTAGGTCCACAGCTCATAAAAGTCAAGATCTGAACCCAGTTAATCTGACTCCCAAACCCACGCTGCCTCCATGGCACAGCTGCTGCCCCTCTGCGACTGCTGGGAGGGAGGGGGGGCTGCTCTGGTTACCGCCCCTCTCCTCCTGGCCTAACTCTCCCCACTATTTCCTGTCCTCCCAGCCCCCATTTTCCTGCCCAAAGGAAACAGGCACTGCCCTACCCCCACCGGGCCCCGGCGGCGCGGCGACTCAGGAACCAGGTGACTGCTCTGAGTCAGGCTCCCACCACAGGAAGCTACAGACTAGACACAGCTCCACGAGAGCTTTCCCGAGGGAGCTCTGCAGCAGCACCAGCTGTGGCTCCCCAAGTCTCGTGAGGAGGTGAGTGCGCAATCTCAGCCTCTCAAGAATGATGCTTGGGTCGAAGGCGCTACCCTCAGTCCTGACCCTACGGCCAAAGCCAATTATTGAGCACCTGCTGTTTGCCACACACTGGGCTAAGGACCTCAACCACATCCATTCTTCATCCTCAGTACAACCCAATGGGGAAGATGTCATCACCCCATTTTATAGATGAGGAAACTGAGGCTCCGAGAAGCTAAAGTGGCTTATCCAATCCACCTGTGGAAAGCAGAGCCCAGGTCTAAACTGAGGTGCTGTCTCCACACACTTGGCCACCTCACTAGGCAAGGAGAAAGCCCTCTCCCTCATGGTCTCCTCCTTGCTGAGGTGAGAAGGACGGAGGAGCCGAGATGTTCTCCACTACCAATCACCACACAGTGGCTGGGAGCCAGGCTTTCAAGTCAGAGCTGGATTTGAATCCTGGCTCCACTACTTCCAGCTGTATGACCTTGTGAAACTTACTTAACCTCTCTGTGACTCAGTTTCCTCATCTGTAAAATGGGGAGAATAAAAGCACCTACTTCATGGGATTATTTTGAGTTTAGATTGAAAGAGATAATCCATGTGAGCTCCTGGCATGTAGCATATCCTCAGTAAATGGGAGTTGCCATCAGACTCTGTGAGTGCCTGTTGTGGCCCAGCTGTCCCCTAGAGGGTTGGGAATAGAACAGGGCCCTCGGGAGACTGTGACACTGTGGGGGTGGGGAGGCCTCTGGCCTCCTGTCTCCCAGCTCCACTGTCATCTCCCGCCTCCCCACGGACAACTCTCCCTTTTCCCATTTCTCAGAGCCCTGAGGTACCAGCCCTACAGCCTACAGTGGCAAAGCCCCGGTGACTCGGGTCAAACTGCCAAACACTGCAGACAGGCAGGGGATTCCTGCTCCCCAGGGACTGCTCCTACCCTGTGGGCATGGAGCGGATGGACAAAGAAAGAAGCCCAGTCCTGGGCTGACACCCTGCCAAGTGCCAGATAGGCCTCGCTCAAGTGGCTTAGCCAGAGTGGTAAGAGTGAGCAGTAAGGCCCTACCCTGTGAGGCAGCCACTTCCTAGTCTGAATGCCCTGTCTTTACCAGGCCAGGATCTTTGAGAGAGAGCTGGACATTTCCTGATCTCAAATACGCCGAGAGAAGTATTGTAATTTCCTAGTTGGAGAAAGGAAGTGGCACAAGGATGACAGTAATGAACAAGGAGATGGCTCAACAGAAGTATCCGGGTGTTGTAAATCATGAGTGTGTTTTATGGGCAGAGGGTTCTTTGCATTTGTACTGATCTTGAAACCTAATTTTCTCTACGTAGTTAGTTAAACACTTAACGCTGAGGGCAGGAGTGGGGACAAGGGAGCCAACAAAAAAGTCAAAGTGCAGCTGCCATCTTTGGGGTTCCTGTCCCCAGGGGGTGGAGGCTGGGGTGGCAGAGATTCTGAGAATCACACCCTCTGTGCTCTGATGAGGACATGTCCACGTGTTAAGGCTGCACGGCCGGCAGACCTGGGTCTTGAGAGAAGCAAACAACTTCTTCCTTGTGTTTCTGGGTCTGTCTTAGCAGAAAGCCAAGTTTGTGCCCTTTAAGGCAGACCCTGACCAAGTGAATTAGGGGCAGAAGGTGACAGGCCTCAGGAAAGGGCAAGGGCACTAACGTAAGGACCATCGAAGGGACTGCGGTACCGTCTCATTCAGTCCTCACACAACCCTGAGACTCGTACTGTTGTTAACGCCCCTTTAGAAACAAGGAAATGGGAGTTAAGTAATTTGCTCATGGTACTCAGCTAGAAAAGTGGCTAAGCCCAGTGGAAGAAGAGGAAAATCTAAAAGATCCTAGAATAATTCTTATTCAAAAACATTTAGTGAACATAAAAAATACCCAAGATATAAGACTAAGTGAACAAAGCATGATAAAGCAATATGAGTCCAGTATGATACCAATTTTTAAAAAGTAGATGTGTATGTAAAAAAACGCACAGAAAAAGCTGACTGCTCCAAGGGGAAGTGCAGCCAGCCACGCAGCCCATCCATCCGTCCATCCATCCACCCATCTATCCATCCAGTCATTCATCTATCTATCCATCCACGTACCCCCCATCCACCCATCCATCAATACACATCCATCCGTCCATCCAGCCATGCACATCCACCTACTCATGCATCTACCCACCCAAGTCATCCACCCATCTATATATGTGATTTATCCTTCCTATCTATCTATATGCTGGTGCCTTAAACAGTTTTGTCTGTAGTCATGGGGAGCTGCAGAAAACCATCCTCAGAAACCCACCTGAGGACCAAGGCAGGCATTAACAGAGCTCTGCCCAGGGGCAGTAGATCAGCACCCAGTTTTTTCTTGGCCAGCTCCCCTACATCATGGGACCTGAACCAGTGACCTGGCTTCCCTGGAGCCAAACTCCTCCAAACAGATGAGCAGCAACAAAGAGGAGTGGCCATTCCTCTGTCACTCAGCAGTCCTATGTGGCTACCACTGGCTGGGGTCAAGACTTACCGGGCGCTTGGTGAGGTCCCAGTTGTGGATGACCCTGGCGGGAATCACTGAGGCATCGTCTTGGTGGCAGATGTCACAGTAATAGAGGCCAGAGAAGGCACAGAGCTTGGGTCGTACAAATGAGAAGCCGATCTGCCGGGAGCAGCCTGGGGAGAAGGATGGAGGGAGAGTGAGCAGCAGTGGGGCCACAGTCAGCTCCTGAATAACAGAGAAGCTACTAAGACGTGATGGCCTGCTATTTAAGCAAAGTATAAAGATAAAAAAGGAGGATACAAGATCAAAACAACCATCACTCATATGTCCACCACTTGGAAACAAGCCCATTGATTAATCTGTACCACAAAACACTGCAAGAATTATCATCACCATTTTACAGCTGAAAAAACTGATGCACAGAGAGGTCAGGAAACCTGCCTGGTCCCCCAGTGATTAAGCAGCATAGCTGGGATTCCAGTTAGGGTTGGCTTGGTTCTAGAGCCCGCATTCTCTTACACCCGGCTGCCTTTGTTCAGTGTTCCCACTGTTGCTCACCAAAGCCAGCCTCCTCTAGGCCCACCCCTCCACTGGGGCCCAGAAATGGAAGCAACTAAGTCTAGGCCTCAGCAAGCAAGGAAGGTGCTAGGGACACGGGGCCGGCCACCGGGAGTTGGGGGGAAGCCAGGGAAGTTGGGACATTATTGCCCGGTGCCAGCTCGAAGCCAGAGCTGCCTGACACCTCAGGACAGTGGTGCAGGGCCCAGCTTCAGAGCCTCTGCTGGTGCACCCTCCACAGTTGTGGGCAGTGGCAGTGGGAGTGGGGTGTGCCCAGGGCAAAGCAAAGGCCTGGCTCAAATCCTGAGCACACGCCCTGCCTCCCACAGGGCCAGGGGAAAGAGTGCCTCTGGCCTCGGGACCAGAAGGGCTGGCTCTTCTGCTTACCGGCTGCCTATCCCGACCTGCACCAAATTTTTACGAGGTTCTATTTCAGTATCTGTAAAATTCAGCTACCACTTGCTATTTTGTGGGGTTATTACAAAGTTTAAATGAGACAAGGTTTTGAAAGGGCCCTGCAAACTATGAATGCGAGCCAGATGTCAGTGGTCGGCGTCTGCCTGCCCACTGAGCTGTGCTTGCGGGCGGAAAGGAAGCCTGGGCTCCCCAGTTTCAGGCTCAGCCGGCAGGCTGGCGGGTGGCAGGCACGATGAGAGCTGCCCCCACCAGCATTCCCACCCATGGCGGGGAGACCCTCCCCACAAGCCCTGGGGGCTGGCCTCCTCCCTGAGCCCAGCATCCATAGGCTGAAGGGCAAAGTGAGTGTTAGGGGCTGGTGGGGGGTGAGGGTGAATGGGGGCTTGAAGATGTTTTCTGCAGGAAGCTCTGCACTGCCTAGCTTCTCCATCCTCCCAGGGCACCAACCGCAGACCACTTCCTTCCAGACGCCTGAAGCAGGCTTTCCCCACCTGTCCCACAGGCTCCACCTCGAAGGGACAGCTCCTAAAGTGCGGCTCAGCTTGTGCCACATCTCTTGCTTTGGCACTCTGCAGCGGAGCAACCTCCTCACAGCTCACCTAGAGGGCCCAGGGTGATGCAGATGTGTGTCTGGACTGAGAGAAGGGCTAAAAGTGGAACATGAGCAGTGGAACATCACGCAGCCTTGAAAAACAGGGGAGTGGAGAGGCCCTGTGGGGACCTGGCTGAGAGCACAGGTCTGGGACCTTCAAGGTCCTCCTCCTGGCTCTGCCACTTACTAGCTATGTGAACCTGCGACAAGGTAGTCACCAGCCCTGCGACCCAGTTTCCTTGGCTATAAACAGAGATCCCTACAGGCTTGTTGTGAGGATTAAATGAGATAATCCAAATCAAGCATCTGGCCCAGTGCCCAGCACAGAAGAATTAGATTTGATGATAATGATCTAGCAATGTACTGACTTGCAGTAATACCCATAATGTATTATTAAGTAGAAAAAACCCAAGTTGCAGAACAATATATATAGCTGTGCTGTCCAATATGGTGGCATGAGCCATGTGTGCTCATTTAAATACATTTAAATTTTAAAAACCCCTGAAAATTCAGTTCCTTAGTCACAATAGCTACACTTTAAGTACCTAGTAGCCACGTGTGGCTTGTAGCTACCATGGAAAGCACAGATCTAGAACATCTTCATTAACACAGAAAGTTCTATTGGACAGTGCTGAGTAGTACAAACCAATTTTTGTAATTTTAAAAAATTGAGTGCACCTGCAAAAGCATGCAAGCGTACTTGGAAGGGTACTATGCTCCTGCTCCAAAAGAATATGACAATAAAGGAGGTAGGGCGCTGAGCTCCCTGGAACTCCCTGAGCAGAGAGCAGCACACAGCGGAGCTGCCACCCACAGCCCTCAGCAGGAGGTGGCAGGAGGGGGAGGCGACAGGGGCTCCCACAAGCAGGGGCACTGGCCCCAGTGGGTGCTGGGGAGCTGCAGACGTGCAGAAAAGCTGTATTTGCTGCAACATCCCAGGGGTGGGATGGGGCAATGGTGGAAGGCCAGGATGAGTGCAAAGGCTAAACCAGGAACCCCACTGGAGGCAGAGAGAGGCTGGCAGGCTGGGGGTGGCAGGACAGCAAGTCAGCACCTGCGCAGAAGCAGCCCTGGGAGTCGAGGCCTTTCTCCGTGGGGATGGCCACCAGGTACTGCAGCAGGAAGCCATTCTCCCGTGTGGCGAACTTCAGCACCTCCTGACAATTTTCATCCAGACTGCCACCAAGTGTCACTGCCTCCTCGGCCGTCTCCAGGTAGGACGCCAGGACCTTGCGCACCAGATCCCTCCACAGGGCAGCCTCCTCAGCATTCCCGGCCTGCAGCTTCAGGACGGCCTTGGCTGTGATGATTTTGAAGAAGGATGGGCCCCCGAGGCTCGTGTCTGGCAGGATATCTCGGATGGTCTCAATTCCATGGCTGTCAGTTAACATCTTCTCGTTGTTTCTCAGGCGGAAGCATTTCAGAGCCTCCAAGGACAGGGAAAAAATATAGGGCACCCAGGTCCTGTCCGCGTAGAGGTACAGAAGGGATTCTTTAATGGCGTCTGGCTCGGGAACTTGGGCAGAGGACCAGTTGAACTGCGAGCTCTGGAGCGTTTCAGGCTCTGTGAGCAGGTCCGAGTGGGCAGGGAAGCCACCCTGGGGGGCCTCTGCGGGGTCCTCAGGCTCGTCTGGGTACTGGACGTTCACCCACTCGTCCTCCTGCTGGGGCCGGTACTTCTGCAGGGCCTCGCGCACTCGGTCGAGCCAGTCCTCGGCTTCATCCTGGGAAGAGGCACGCAGGGTCAGCCTCTTGCCGGAGAAGACCAGCTCGAAGCGGCCGTCGCTGTGGGCCGGCCCCACAGACTCACAGCGCAGCAGGGAACAGCTCTCCATGCAGGTGCGCTCCTCGTCGCTCAGGTAGAGGCGGAACTCCAGCGGGGAGAGCTCGCAGAAGAGTTCCTTCCAGATGCCCATCGCCCCCCGCCGCTCCACGGTGCCCAGTTTCATGAGACCCCGGAATGGGTTGGACAGCCCTGGAGGCAAAAAGAAGCACTTTAGACAAGGGGCCTGTCCCTTTACCACCCAAGAAAACCTCCGGAGCCCGAGGTCTTGTAGTGGGTGTGGACGAGTGACTGCTACGAGAATACAAGCCAGCCGTGGGCTGGATGGGAACATCTTTTGAGTGCCTCCATCCCACCCTCACCCTCAGCAGCTGACCTTGTTCCTGAATGTCACTGAGAAAATAAAAGCGCTCAAAAGATGACCTCCACATGCCCCTCACTGCACTCCCTGCTTCCGGCATCTGTCCCCACACATGACTTCCCTCCTGTCGCCAGGGCTGAACCGACTGTGCTGCTGTCTGAGGCCAAGCCTCCACTTGTGCAGGGGTCCCCCCCACCGCCTACTCAAGGACAAGGATGGCTCTCCAGCAGCCTCCCTCCCTCTCCTGTGCTGCTGTTTTCTCCTTTCTTTCCCAGATCCTTCCCAACAGCACACAACATGCTGCTATTTCTCCCATCTTTAAAAATACCTCTCGTGACTCCGCTCACATCTCTAATTATCACCCTGTTTCTCTGTCCCCTTTATAGAAAACCCCCGAGGAGTATTGGAACTGTCTCTAGTTCCTCTGCTCCCAGGCCTTCTTGAACCTGCTCCAATCAGGCTTTTGGCCCCTCATTCCACAGAAACTACACTTGGGAAGGCCACCAGGCCTCCCCATGTCACCAGATCCAAAGGCCAATCCTCAGTCCCCATCTGGCCTGACCCATAGCATCACTGGACACAGCTGAGCCCTCCTTCCCTCCTGAAGCACTTCCCTCTCTTGGCTGCCGAGACACTGCCCTTGGTTCTCCTCCATCCTGACTGGCCATGCTTCAGACCTAGACTCACTCCTCCTCCTCCGCTGACCCCTCACTGTTGGAGTGCCCCAGAGCTCAGTCCTGGGTCCTCTGCTCTTCTCTATCAACACCCACTTCCTAGCTGATCTTACACACTCAGGGCTTTATGCCAACAATGCCCCAATTTTTATCTCCAGCCTGGACCTTGCCCTTGAACTTCAGATTCAGATCTCCATCTGCTCCATGTATGTCTAATAGGTTTCTCAAACTTGACACATCCTAAAATGAATTCTTGATTCTCCCACTCCAAACCTGCTCTCTCCTAATGTTCTTTGTCTCATAAAATGGCAAACTTCATTCTTCCAGTTGATTGGGCTAAAACCTTAGAGTTATCTCTGATTTTCTTTCGTTCACACCCTGCATCCAATCCATCAGCAAATCCTGTTGGCATATCCAGAATCTTCCACGTCTCACCACCTCCACCACTACCTCACAAGTTCAGCCCAGCGTCATCCCTCGCCTGGGTCATGGCAATGGTGTGCTAACTGGTCTCTCTGCCCTGGCCGTCCTTCAGCATACAAGCCAGGATGACACTACCATTTAAAAGATAAGTCAGATCATGTCCCTCTGCCCCAAACCCTGCAAAGGCTGCTGTCTCCCTCAGAGCAAAAGCCACTGTCCTTTCTGCAGCCCACAAGGCCCTCCACCACTCTGACCTCATCTCGAACCACCTCCTTCCCCATCTCCTCTGCTCTAGTCACTCTGGTCTCTGTGGTTCCTCGGACACCTCAGGTATGTTTTCATCACAGGTCTCTGCACTTGTTCTCCCTGCTTGACACACAAAGATTGCCTCGTGCCTTCCTCCCTCCTGCCACATCTCCTCCAAGGTCAGCTTATTCATGAGGGCTTCCTTGGCGATCCTATAGGAAATAGTACACTCCCCACCCTGGCGTGTCCTGATTTATTGTTCTCCATAGCAATTACTGTCACCTGCTCATACCACACGTTTACGGATTAATTTTCTTATTTCCTGTCTCTCACACTAGAATATAAGTCTCATGAAGACAGGGACTTTGCTTTGCTTCCTGCTGCGTTCCTAGCACCTAGAATGGTGCCTGGCACATCACAGAGGCTCAGTAAGTATTTGCTGAATAAGTGGGTGAGTGTGTGCCTATGTACCACACACTCCTCAATGCTCCCTGCTCCCAGGGGGTCTGCCACCACTCAGGGGTTCCAGAGGACACACAGTTCTCTCTCTCCCAGCCTGGACTAGCCTTAGAGATTTCAAACCACTGTTTAGGATCTTCCTACCCCTCAGGGAGCCTGATGGCCTAGGAACGGAGCCCACCTTTCTCTGGCATGGTTATAACCATCACATGGGTGACAGACAGAAAAACCTAAAAGAAGCCAGCATAGAGACTAGGGCGCCACCCATAATCCCCAACCAGGGCCGCAGGACCCTGGCCAGAATTCTCTGCAGGGTCTTTGCAAACAGAAAATGAGGAGCGAACAAGACTGACTCTAGGGCACACTCTGCTTGCTTGTTTACTTGAAAGAGGGAACTCGTTTATGAGGGGTACAGGTTATGGTTTCTGGAATTTCACCAGGGGTAGAGATCAAGCTGGCCTCACTGTGAACAGCACGTAGAGGATGCTGAGCAAACAGCAGACCTGATAACCCCACCAGCAGTGTTAAATCAGCCATCTCAGAGAAAGGCCTTGGGAAGGAGCAGTTGAAACACCTGGGCCTTCAAGAGACGGGTTCTCTCTGGGCTACGCTTGAATCAAGAGTTCTGTATAATCTTAAGAGTTATAGGGTAGTTTCAGGAAAAATATTTTCCATTTCAATATAGGAAACAGTATTTTTGCACTGTGTAGGCAGTTTTGAGCATTATTCTATGAAGATTTTATGAGAAAACACAGTACTTTTCCTGAAATGCTTTCCTGCATTACTCAGCAAGGGTGCTCCTTATTATGACATTTTGGGATGAAGTTTTTCTTGTGAGAAGACACCACCCAATTGGTAATGGAAAGCAGGGTTTTCGAGCTGCTTTCTGCAAGGCGCTGTCTCTGCACAGTGAGGCGGCCCTGGGCCCGCAGCCACCTACCCATCTGCCGGCGGTGCACCACCCTGAAGTTCTTGTGCTCCTGCGCCGCGGCCGCCTTGCTCTCTCTGCTTCCTGGGGAAGGCACGCAAGCTTTGTCTAAGGCCCCCGTGGAGTAGCTTTTTCTTGGTCCTTGAGAAAAATGCCTTAGGAGACCAGGCCTTGCCTCTGGAGACCCCGTGGACGAGGCTGCAGAGCGATCTGAGGGACCCTCGGCAGCTTGTTCTGGGGGAGGCCGGTAGAAGTCATCTTCTGAGATCCAGCTCTTGTTTTTCTAGTGGGAAAGAAGAAAAGGCATAAGTTGCTTTTTAACTTCTTTAAAAACATCTTTATGGAGACAGGATTCACATACCATAAGATTAACCCATTTAAAGTGTACAATTCAATACTCAAAGAGTTGTGCAAGCATCACCACAGTCTAAGTTTAGAACACCTCCATCACTCCATGAAGAAACTGTGTAAGCGTTGGCGGTCACTCCCTACTTCCTCTCAAGCCCTCCAGTTCTAGGCACCAATAATCGACTTTCTGTTTCCATACATCTGCCCATTTTGGACAGTTTATATAAATGGAATCTTACAACATGTGGTCTTCTGCAACTGGCTTCTTCCCCTTAGCATGTTTCTAAGGTTCATCCACGTTGTAGCACGTGTTGGTACTCCATTACTCTTTATTACCAAATAACATTCCAGTGGATGGATGTCCCACACCTTATTTATCCATCATCAGGTGACGGACATTGGGTTGTTTCCGCTTTTTTGGTAATTACGAACAATGCTGCTGTGAACGTTCACATACAAGTTTCTGTGTGGACATATGTTTTCTATTCTCTTGGGTGTAGGCCTAGGAGTGGAATTGATGGTCATATGGTAAAGATGTCTGACTTTCTGAGGAACTTCCAAACTTGTTTTCCTAAGTGGCTGCCCCATTTTACATTCCCACCAGCCATGCATGAGGGTTCCAACTTCTCCGCATCCTCTCCAACATTTGTCATTATCTGTCTTTTTGATGATAGCCATCTTGAGGGGTGTGAAGCGCAATCTTGTGGTTTTGATTTGCATTTCTCTTATGTCTAATGACCCTGCGCATCTTTTCATGTGCATATTGGTCATTTGTCTATCTTCTTTGGACATCTGTCTATTCACATTCTTAGCCCATTTTTAAACTGGTTTATTTGTCTTTTTGTTCTTGTGTTGTGTTGTGGGTTGAACTGTGTCTGCCTAAAAGACATGTTGAAATCCTAACCCCCACGACCTCAGAATGAGACCTTATTTGGAAACAGGGTCGTTGTAGATGTAATTAGTTAAGATGAGGTCATACTGGGGGAGGGTGGGCCCTTCATCCAAAGTGATTGGTGTCCTTATAAGAGGAGAAAAGACACATACAGAGAGGAGAATGCCAAGTGAAGAGAGACACAGAGGGAGAACGCCATGCGATGACGGAGGGACTGGAGTGATGCGTCTACAAACCGATGAACGCCAAGGCTTGCTGGCGACACCAGAAGCTAAGAGGAGGGCAGGGAACAGACTCTTCCTCAGAAACTCCAGAAGGAATCAACCCTGCCAACATCTGGACTTCGGACTTCTAGCCTTCGGAACTATCAGAGAATGCATTTCTATTGTTTTACGTCATCCGGTTTACGGTACTTTGTTACAGAAACCCTAGGAAACAAATTTGTAAGGGGTCTTTATACATTCTGGATACCAGGTCCTTACCAGATACATGATTTGCAAGTAATTTCTCCATTTCTGTGGGTTGTCTTTTCACTTTCTTCATGGTTCTCTTTGAGGCATAAAGTCTTTCAATTTTGACGCAGTCCAATTTACATTTTCTTTTGTCTCTGTGCTTTTGGTGTATCTAAGAAACCATTGCCTAAGGCCAGGTCACAAAGGTCTGCTCCTGTGTTTTCTGCTAAGAACTTTATAGTTTTAGCTCTTACATTTAGGTCTATGATCTATTTTGAGCTAATTTTTGTGTATGGAGTGAGGAAGGGGTCCACCCATATTCTTTTGTGTGTGGATATCCAGGTGTCCCGGCACCATTTCTTGAAGGGATGTAGAGTTTTCAGCTCTGCTTCTAGGGTGAGATGAGGGAAGCATGAGCGACAGGACCCAGAGTCCTCAGTGGCTGCGTCTGCCTCGGCTCCCCACTTCTGAGCAGGTCCCTGAGGCCCCAGGCAGCCAGGCCCTGCCCCTTCTCTTCTGAGGCTGTCTCTCTGAGTCTGAAGCTGCTCACTAGCTGGGAGAAGAGGGGCAGGTCTGGGGTGAGGGCGCTTGTGGGAATGAATTCCAGCTCCTCTTTGTCATTATTTCTAGCGCTCCCTGCCTTTCTGTGTCGAAGTGTGGAGGAGCGGAGGCAAGGAAGCAGGTTGGGCTGCCTTAAGTGGCTGTCTACACAGAGGAAATGAGTCACACCGGTGGGGGGTGGGGGGGGACCAGCCCAGCTGTTTTGTTAAGTGCCACCAACCTCACCCTGACGCTGCTGTTTCCAACCCCTAAATTGAGACTGCCCTCCCTGCTGCTGTAGACAGGGGAGTGGAGCAGGCTGAGGCTGCCCCCGAAGGGCTGATTTGCACAGTTTAGTCCATGCAGAGGCTCTAAGACTCCTTAAGCCAAGGGTGGAGAGTTCTGAGTCCGGCTCTCACAGAGCTGGGCCTCCAGGGCTTCCTCAGAAAGCCCTCAGAATTGGCAGGTGCTTCCTTCTGCCAGTGACAGGACAATGTGTCATCAGCGGGCTATTGGGGACCATTTCAACACAGGATTCTGAACAATTTCTGCCTAGGTCACTGAGACCGCAGGGAACTCCTTGAGGAAAATGGGCAGGAGGAGTACCCCAAGGCTGTACAGGCAGCCCCATGGAGCCTGGCACACAGACCTGGGATCCTGTGACCACCCCCCCGCCCCGACTTGGCACCAGCCCCTGCTAATGGTCCCAACTGGAAAGACCACTATCCCTTGAGATTCAGTCAGGGGTCATCCCTCACCTCTTCCTGGAAGCCTGCCTTACTATTCCCCAGCCTATACCCCTCTCACCCCTCAGCTGGGTTTGGGACCCCTCCTGGGCTCCCACAGCATTCTGTGCCTGCCCTCATCCTTGCATCCACAAAGCTGTTTGGAATGGTCATTTTTATTTGTGCTTGGCACACAGTTATAAAAGATGAGTGAGTAAACCTTGACTATCCAAACATCTTCAACATACAATGACAAGGGTGGGGCGAGGGAACTGGAAGGAAGGAGACAAATGTGCATTTTGAGACGATGTATGTTCACTGGCGAGGGCTTCCCTCTCCACGGAGGAGAGGGAGACTACTCCGAAACGTTCAGACGCGGCCCACTGCCCACGGATCAGCCACCAGGAAATGATACTCTAGGGAAAACCTTTTGTTCTCTTAAGTAACAGAAAAACAGTGGGAATACTGGGTCCTTGGAGCTTCTGCATAGTCCTGGACTGGGCTGTGGGCTGTGCCCCCTACCAGGGGCCCCAGTCAGAAAGCAGGGGGTAGGGCACACCAGTGTTTTCCTTTTCCCTCCCCTTTCCTCTCGTCTTCCTACTCCTGCTCACCCAGGGCCCCACATCTGGCCAGTTACCTGCCCTGTTAACAGTGAGGGAAAATCACCACTGACCAAGGATCTAAGCGAGAGCAGCACCGGCCACTAGGAACCCAAGGCAGAGGAATGCCACCTCGAGTCACTAAGGCGTCCGGGCGCTGGATACAACTGCTAAATCCAGAGAGGAGTCTGGCTGCCGAGGGAGAGACCAGGTTTCCAGACACTTTCAGAAAAGCACTTTTCGTCCAGTCTGTCCTCACTATGTCAGGCAAAGGGACTGCCTGTACCCCTCCTGGGGGAGGGGACCACATGCCATGGCAGGTGATCCACGAGGGCAGCAATTAGGGCCAAGTCTTAGAATTCAGACTGTCCTATGGGAGTTAAACTGAGAACCCAGTTCACACCCCCTGATGCCACGAGTACAAAGTCCCCCCAGCTCCCTCGCTCCCTGTACCTTCCTCCCCAGCACGCATCACAAGTGTAATTACGAGGCAGATAATCACTTGTCTAATCTGGTGTCTGTCCCCGAAGAGCAGGGCCTCGTCTGTGCTGTCCCAGCACTGTACCCAGCACGGTGCTTGGCCCACAGCAGGGACTTTGTATTAAATGAATCAAAAAAAAATTTTTCTTAAAGAAAGGCTAAATGGCTCTCAGGGTTATAAAACTTGACAGTGATCCCCGCCCTCTGCCACCAAAATGTCAAATAAATAGCAGTGGCTGAGTGACGACAGAAGCACAGAAAGATGAGAACCACAGAGGCGGCATGCAGGGCATAGCCCCACTCCGTGCAAAGGGAGGGAGCCCACCAGACCAGGGCAAGTGTGCAGGCCTCACAGTGGAGCCCGGCGACTATACTGAGTGGAGGAATGAACAGATCCACAGCTCCGCTGTGGAGACAGATGCAGGAAGGGGTGAGCATCTGTGGCTCTCACGGTGGACTCAGCAGCAGGTTTGACTCTCTGTTCCCCAAGCAACCAGACTACCGTGAGGCCTGCAAGGAGGTGGAGCCTGCCCTGGTCAGACCACCCTGCCCTGCCCACTCTATGCACTTGACAGAGCGCTTCTCTCCATTGTAAATTACAAGTCAGCATCTTGAGTCTCTGGAGAGCTCCAGGACTGTGAATTGATGCCTACTCTCTCCCAGGTACAGGGCTTGCAGCTGACACAGAAGTGAACAGACATGGTCCTTCGTATCATGGAGCTAATATTCTAGTCCAGAAGACAGAAAATAAGCAAGCAGACAAGCAGATAACACAATTGCACATAGTGATGAATGTTATAAGCAAAGCGGAGCAGGGAAATGGGAAAGAGAGTCACTGGGCATGGTGCTCTTGAGACAGGTGGTCAGGCATGGCTGAGACAACAGGGAGGAAAAGCAGAGAGTTGGGAAAGGGTCCGGGTAGAGGAAAAGCCCGGGCTGGAAGAAGCTCACTGTGTCGGGACCGCAAAGAGGCCAGAGGGTTAAAACTTGGCGAGCAAAGGAGGAGCCTTGCTGACGAGGGAAGCTGCCTGCCCCATCAGCTCTGGGGCCAGGGCAAGACAGGCTGTCTGAGCCTGCAAAGCAGAGGCTGGACCCCAGGCGGGGGTGAACTCAACATGGTCACTGCCACTCTGTGGAACCTGGCTGGGGCATGGCCACCGTGCCTCGGGGGACATCCCTCCTCCTCCAGCTCGAGCCGGGGGCGGCAGAGCCTTTCCTCTCCAACCTTCAGTGTGCTTGGCAGTTGCCTGGTCACAGCCTTCAGGGTTCCATGACATTCTGGGCTCTGAAGCACTCTTCAAGACAGCAAAAACGGAGAGTCTGACCCTCACTTACACAGCTACGTGATTCATGAAGTCATCTTCAGTAAACGGTTCTAGTCCATCAGATATCCATATGGAAAAACACGAGCTTTGACTCCTACCTCACACTATATACAAAAATTAATCCCAGATGGATGATAAACCTAATTGCAAAAGGTAAAATATTAAAGCTTCTAGAAGAAAATACAGGGGTTTTCATAGCCTTCACAACCTTAGGGTAGACAAAGATTTTTAAGACACAAAACACATTAGCCATAAACAGAAAGACTGATAAATTGAAGATCATTTAAATCAAGAACTTCTGTCCAACAAAAGACACCATGAAGAGATTTAAAAGGCACATCATAGACTGGAAGAAGACACTTGCTATATACAACTATACACATATTTTTTCTCTAGTAAAAGACATATCCATAATATATAAAGAGCCCTTACAAATCAGTAAGGAAAATATGCACAAACTCAATTTAAGAATGAGACAATGACTTAGACACTTCCAGGGGGCCAGCCCGGTGGCACAGTGGTTATGTCCACACGTTCCGATTCTCGGCAGCCCAGGGTTCACCAGTTTGGATCCCGGGTACGGACATGGCACCGCTTGGCAAAAAGCCATGCTGTGGTAGGTGTCCCACATATAAAGTAGAGGAAGATGGGCATGGATGTTAGCTCAGGGCCAGTCTTCCGCAGCAAAAAGAGGAGGATTGGCAGTAGTTAGCTCAGGGCTAATCTCCCTCAAAAAAAAAAGACACTTCCAAAAGAGGATCAAATGGCCAATAAGCAAATGAAAAGGTATCAATATCATTAGTCATCGGGGAAATGCAAATTAAAACCAAAGTGAGATACCACTACACATCTCCTAGAGTAGCTAAAATTAAAAAGATCGATGACACCATTGGCTAGGATGAAGAGCAATGAAAATGCTCATATACTGCTAACGTGAGTATAAGCTAGTACAAGCACCGTTAGAAAACTGTTTGGCCGTATCTACTGAACATATGCCTAACAATGACCCAGCAACTCCATCCCTAGGTGTACACCACAGAAACGAGTGCACAGGGTCACCAAAGGCAAGTACGAGAATGTTCACAGCAGCTTTCTTCATACTAGCCAAAACCTGGAAACAATTCAAACGTCTGTTAGCAGGAGAATGGACAAATACATTGTGACATATTCTCAAAATGGAATACTGTAGAACAATGGAAAAGAACAAACTATAGCCTCATGTTGTACGTACAGATGAATCTCACAGACATAACGTTCAGTGAAAGAAGCAAAAAGAGCACATATTGTATGATTACATTTATATGAAGTTCCATGACAGCACAAATGAATCTATGGTACCTGAGGTCAGAATGGTGCTTTCCTTTGGAGGGGATAATTACTGGGAGAAGGCATGAGGGAGATTCTGCGGCTGGCAGTGTTCTATATTTTGACCTGGATGGTGGTTACTGAGTGTACATCATATATAATTACTCACGGAGATGTATACTGAGGATCTGGGTGCTTTAAATACAGCATTCCTCAAAAATTTTTAAAACAGGGAAATAGTCTTTTCAATAAATAGTGCTGGTACAACTGTATATCCATATGCAAAAGAATGAAGGTGGACCTCATCCTTATACCATATATAAAAATTAACTCAAAATCGATCATAGATCTAAATGTAAGAAATAAAACTATAAAAGTTTTAGAAGAACACACAGGAGTAAATCTTCATGACCTTGGATTAGGAAATGCATACTTAGACACAACACCAAAAGCACAAATGACAAAAGAAAAAATAGATATGTTAGACGATACCAAAATTTAACTTTTATGTTGCTAATGATACCATCAAGAAAGTGAAGGGGCTGGCCCAGTTGCGCAGCGGTTAGGTGCACACGTTCTGCTTCTCGGCGGCCTGGGGTTCACCGATTTGGATCCTGGGTGTGGACATGGCACCATGCCATGCTGTGGCAGGCGTCCCACATATAAAGTAGAGGAAGGTGGGCACGGATGTTAGCTCAGGGCCAGTCTTCCTCAGCAAAAAGAGGAGGATTGGCGGAAGATGTTAGCTCAGGGCTAATCTTCCTCAAAAAAAACAAAAAAAAAAGATAGCTTCTTACGGGGCTGGCCTGGTGGCACAGCAGTAAGTGCGCATGTTCCTTGGCGGCCCAGGGTTCCCAGGTTTGGATCCCAGGTGCGGACATGGCACCGCTTGGCATATCATGCTGTGGTAGGCGTCCCACATATAAAGTAGAGGAAGATGGGCATGGATGTTAGCTCAGGGCCAGGCTTCCTCAGCGAAAAAGAGGAGGACTGGCAGTAGTTAGCTCAGGGCTAATCTTCCTCAAAAAAAAAAAAAGAAAGTGAAAAGAATTCATAGAATGGGATAAAATATTTACGAATCACACACCTAATAAGGGTCTAGAATCCAGAATATATAAAGAACTATTATAACTCAACAATAAAAAGCCAATCTAATTTAAAAAGTGCGAAAGTTCTGAATAGACATTTCTCCAAAGAAGAAACACAAATGGCAAATAAGCACATGAAAAGATGCTCAACATCATTAGCCATCAGGGAAATGCAAATCAAAACCATAATGAGATACCACTTCTCACCCACTAGGACAGCAATAATAATAATGATTTTTAAAAAGACAGTAAGAAGTGTTGGAAAGGAGCACGGGCATACACTGCTGGGAGGAACATACAGTGGGGCAGCTGCTTTGGAAACAGTCTGGCAGCTCCTCAAAAGGTTGAATATAGAGTGGAGATATGATCCAAGAGTTCTACTCCTAGGTATGCATCCAAGAGAATTAAGAACGCATGTCCACACAAAAACTTGAAAATGAATATTCATAGCAGCATTGTTCATAATTGCCAAAAAGTGGAAAAAAGCCCTAGAGTCTATCAACTGATGAAAGGATAAAAAAAATGTGATACGTCCATATGACGGAAGCTACAATGCAATATTACTCTGCAATAAAAAGGAATGAAGTACAGATGCATGTGCCAATATGGATGAATCTTAAAAATATCATGTTAATTGAAATAAGCCAGTCACAAAAGGTTACTATGATTCCATTTATGTGAAATGTCCAAAATAACAAATCTGTAGATAAAGTAGTAGTTTCCAGGGGTTGAGAGGAGAAAGGTAGGGGGAGGAGAGAGGGATGGGGAGTGACTGCTAATGGGTAAGTGGTTTCTTTCATGGAGGATGAAAATGATTTAAAATTAGATTGTGGTGATGGTTGAAAATATGAAAAAAATTGAACTACATAGTTTGGTGACTTGCAAGGTATGTGCATTATAGCTCAATAAAGCTATTAAAGAAAAAGAGGGGGTGTGTGTCTCTTCTAGTCTATTTCATGGCCCTGGCCTCATCTTGAGTTATAGGATCTGGAAGCTACAGGCCAAAGGAGAGATGTGCTTGGATGGAGCTGAAAAAGCAAGACTGTAACCCAATATCAGCCCCAGACCTCAGCTGGGATAAACTCCAGGCTTCGTGTGTGCACAGGTGCCTGCAAATTCCTACCTCTGCTTTTCATGACCCAAGAACAAATGTGAAAGGGCAAAAGAGCGTGGGTTCTCAGCTTTGACTGCTGCTTCCCCAGGTCAACTGTCCTCAAGCCTCTCCACCCATGGCTCTCTCCAGGACATTCCCAGTGCTGGCTCCTCTCGGGTTATCAACAAACTGGATTATCTTATTCCAGAACAGCGCTGTCCAGCAGAAATACAATGCAAGCCACATATATCATTTTAAATGTTCCAGTAGTCACATTTAAAAAATGTAAATAGAAATAGGTAAAATTAATTTGAATAATATAGTTTAACCCAATATATCTAAAATATTTTCATTTTAACATGCAATCAGTAAAAAATTATTAATGAGATATTTTTCTTTTTTTTTCATACTAAGCCTTCAAAACCCAGTGCTCTTTTTACACAGCTTATCTCAACTTGGACTGGCCACATTTTAAGTGCTCAATAGCTATGTGTGGCTATTAGCAGCCATGCTGGACAGTGCAATTCTAAATCCGGTTCACATTGCAGAATGAGTATTTTTAAAACCTGATATTTTATAAAAATATTAATTTAATAATAACAAGTACTGAGGAGGAAACCAAAGCTCCGTGAGGCGATGTGCCCTGCCCAAGGCCTTAAGCACCAGCAACCGACAGTGGCTAAGAGCAGAGTCTGTGGTCAGACGAGCATCACCTTCTCCACAGGGTGGGTGTGAAGACAACAGGAGATACGCATGGGAAGTGCTGGGCATGGTGCCTGGCTCATATCCACTACTCACACACCAAGAAGCATCAGCTCTGTCATCACGATGCTAGTAACACTAACGTCATGCAGGGAGAGGGGGCTGAGGGGGAGAAGGCAGAGACCACTCGGTGTCACGAGTTGGGGAAACCCCACACCAGCTCTGGGACATTTCACCAAGACCTCCCGCCAACAACTCGTACCACTCACCGGACTGGTGGGTGAGGAAACCGCAAGGCTCAGTCCAGCTCCGTCATCCTCCGGGGGCTTCTGCTGGCCACTGCCTGCTCTGGTCCTCTCTCTCACAGGACTAAGAGGCTGCTGGCTGGAAGTGCTCCCTGAAGAGGCAGCTTGGGCAGTGCCCAGCTGCGGCAAGCCCAGGGTCCCGGGTGCCTGGGAAAGTGGCTCCTGCTTGTGGCCACCATCGCAAGTCCCAGAGGACGCTTGGGCAGGGCGGCGCTGTGCAGGCACATCAAAGTGCAGGCGTGCGCTGGTGTCGAGGCCGTGGAGGGAGAGTGAGGCCTGCAGCGTGGGAATCTCCGTTTCCCGGCTCAGTCCGTTGGTTGGCGCAGAGTTGACCTGGGCTTTGCTGAATTCCGACAACACCCTAGAAGTTTTTAAACAAAGAAACCTGTGTGACAAGTTGTCAGCCAGAATGCCCAAGGCTACTGGGGCAGTGGTAAGAATGGAAAAATGGTGTTTTGTGATTTAAAAACCTCTCTTCCTCATCCACCGCACTCCTCCTCCCACAGGCCCTCCTCTGCTGACACTCCTCACGGAAGCTTCTCCCGAGCTGGGACCCAGGCAGGCTGGGCGGGCAGGGGAGTCACGGAGCCCAGGAGCTCAGGTGAAAAAGCTCACAGAGCAGCGAAAAAGGACTCGATGTGAATGAGAACTGATTGCCTTTGACCTACTGAACAGGCTAACTGTGGGCCTGGAGAGTTTGCTAGCCAAACAAACGGTTATGTGGGCAATCATTTCTGCCGGCTGTCCATGGAGAGCCTCGGTGAACCGTGTCTCAGAGCTGGGCTCCCCAACGGCACAAGCAGCTGAGGCACCAAGACTTCGCTCCCTGCGACATGCACTTAGGTGAAGTGAGGACCCACTTTGTTCCCGGAACAGTCACTGGGCAGCAGGGTTGGGGTGAGGTACAAGAGCTGGTCCAGGGGCCGGCCCGGGGGCGCAGCGGTTAAGTGCGCACGTTCTGCTTCACCGGCCTGGGGTTCGCCGGTTCGGATCCCAGGTGCAGACATGGCACCGCTTGGCAAGCCATGCTGTGGTAGGCGTCCCACATATAAACTAGAGGAAGATGGGCACGGATGTTAGCTCAGGGCCAGTCTTCCCCAGCAAAAAGAGGAGGATTGGCAGCAGTTAGCTCAGGGCTCATCTTCCTCAAAAAAAAAAAGCTGGTCCACCTCAGAGCTGCACTGGGGGTGAAGTCAGAGAAGCCTCATGTTCCCTGAAACTGCTGCTGGAGACCACTGTGCACAGAGGTGTGCACGTATGTATACAAGGATACGTGGGGTATGTACCTACTCACTCCTCTGGATGGGACGGGCTCTCCCTGCCACTCAGTGGTGCTTCTGGGGCCACAGGAGCCAGTGTTCCTGCCTTTGTGTACATGCACACAGACAAGAATGCATGAAACATGTCTGGGCCTTCCAGAATGTGCACTGGGTAGTGGCTGCTCCTCCCTCTCCTGAGGCTTCTGAGAATCCAAGGTTTGTTTCTGAAGTAAACCTATTTGCTGTTTCCGCCTCTGTTTATGAACCCAATGGAGTACATCAGGGACAAATGCAGGTTCACATGGCAACAAAGCTGTCTGGAGCCCAAGAGATTGCACATATCTGCCCTGACGGCTTAGACTGGGTCCAGAAGACACATCAAACTCCCCTTAATGTGGGCTTATGGAAATGAGGATTTTATTTTATTTATTTATTTTTCTGGTGAGGAAGATTGGCCCTGAGCTAACATCTGTGGGACACTACCACAGCATGGCTTAATGAGCGGTATGTATGTCCACGCCCAAGATCTGAACCTGTGAACCCCGGGCCACTGACGCAGAGCACATGAACTTAACCACTATGCCACCAGGCTGGCCCCGGAAATAAGGATTTTAGAATTCAAGTTTTTACCTGATTGTCTTCTGGTTGAGCTCTGCTCTTATCTACACCATCATTTCATCTACACCAAACAACATTTCAAGACATTCTAGTCAACAAGAGGTGACCAATCCATACATTTACAGGCAACTGATTTTCAACATGGGCACCAAGACATTTCAATGGGGAAAGAATAGTCTTTTCAACAAATGGTGCTGGGATAAGTGAACAGTCCCATGCATGAGAATGAGGTTGGACCCCTATCTCACACCATCCAAAAACACTAACTCAAAGTAGATCAAAGATCTAAAAGTAAGAGCTAAAACTATACAACTCTTAGAAGGAAACAGGTGTAAATCTTCACGTCTTTGGATCAGGCAATGGTTTCATAGATATGGCATCTAATGTATAAGCAACAATAAAAAATAGATAAGTTGGACTTTATCAAAATTTAAAACTTTTGTGCTTCAAAAGGACACTATCAAGAAAGTGAAAAGATAACCCACAGAACAGGAAAAAGATACGCATATCTTTTATGCAAATATTATCATATATCTGATAAGGGTCTAGTATCCAGAATATATAGAGCTCTCACAACTTGATAATAAAAAGACAACCTAATATAAAAATGCATAAAGGATTGGAAAAGACATTTCTCCAAAGAAGATACACAATGGCCAATAAGTCATGAAAAGATGCTCAATATCATGAGACAGCAGAGAAATATAAATCAAAACCACAATGAGATATTACTCTTCCTCCCCTAGGATGGCTAGAATAAAAAAGACAGAGAATAGCAAGTGTCAGCAAAGATGCGGAGAAACTGGAATCCTCATACACTGCTGGTGGGAACGCAAAATGGTGCAGCCACTGTGGGAAACAGTTTCATAGTTCCTCAAAAAGTTTAACACAGAGTCATCATATGACTCGGCAATTCTACTCATGGGTATATACCAAAGAGAATTAACACATGTTCACACAAAAACTTGTACATGAATGTTCCTAGCAACATTATTCATAATAGCCAAAAAGTAGGAAAAAAATATACATCCATTAACTGATGAATAAACAAATTGTGCTGTATCCTACAATGGAATACGATTCAGCCATGGTACATGCTACAACAGGGATGAACTTTGAAAACATAGTAAGTGAAAGAAGCCAGTCACAAAAGGCCACATATTGTGTGATTCCATTGATATTAAATGTCCAGAATTGATGATCCATAGCTAATGGGTAAAGGTTTCCTTACAGGGTGATGAAAGCGTTCTTGAATTAGATAGCAGTGATGTTGTACAACCTTGTGAGTGTACTGAAAACCACCGAACTGTACACTTTAAAATGGTGAATTTTGTGGGATGTGAATCATATCTCAATAAACAAATGGCTGACTAACAAGAAAAGGTGTAATGTGTGCGTGGAACAGTTCTAGGAAGGCAAGTGGGTACTGGTTCTTGCTCTAAGGCCTCACTCTAAAAACAAACAGATGTGGGCTGGCCCTGTGGCCGAGTGGTTAAGTTTGCGCACTCTGCCTCGGCGGCCCAGGATTTCGCCAGTTCGGATCCTGGGCATGGACCTGGCATCACTCATCAGGCCATGCTGAAGCAGCGTCCCACATGTCACAACTAGAGGGATCCACAACTAAAATATACAACTATGTACTAGGGGGATTTGGGGAGAAGAAACAAAAAAGATTGGCAAAGATTGGCAACAGATGTTAGCTCAGGTGCCAATCTTTAACAACAAATGGATGAAAATCCAAGGGTGCAACTGGCAGGGAGTAGGCCATGATGAGTTCTGGAAACGAAGGGGTAGTTTCCACAGACAAAGAAGGAAGACACATTTGCTAACCAATTGTACGTGTCCAAACCATTGTGACAGAATGGGGCCACCTTCTGAAGTGAACTAGGGAGGCAGATTCTTGATAAATGTCTCCTGTGAGGTCCCAGCTCCTCATGAGCTCCTGCGAGGGAGCGTAGTGAGTGATTAAGAGCAGGGCTCCAGAGTCCAGCTGGCCTTGGTTAGCACACTACTGTGTGCCCCACAACAGGCTTCCAGGGTTCATGGACTTCCTCCCCTTATCTGTAAAACAGGCATGGTCACAGCACTGCCATATGACTGTAACACAGATTAAATGAGATAATATAGGTAAAACGCTTAGTAGAGTGTCTAGCACAAAATAAGTACTCAACAAACATTAACCTCAATTTGTTATTGTAGCTGTTTTTATCATCAGTGATAAGACTGCTTAGCCTCCACATATACAAATATAAAAATATAAGAAAAGGAGAATTCTGGAAATACTAGCATTACCAAAATGGTTATCAGTCACAAATGAATCTTAATCCATAAGAAAGATTTTAATGACAGAGTAGACTGGGAGTCAGAATACATGAATGACTTAACAGCTAAAGAAATGCCACCAAACAGCAAGAAGCTTGTATGATAAACTAGAGCTCCCACCAAATCAAACCAAAGGTCAAGGTGAAACCAAGTTCACAAGCTTCACCAGAGTCAGCACTAGTCTTCAGGACCCTGTGAGAATAAGAGAGACACGGACATCAAGTGGGAAAAAGTGCTAGAGATGAGATTTTGAAGGAAAGGCAGAAGAAAGAAAATTTTCCAAAATTCCGAAGAAAATGCAACATAGAAATAAAACAGCGAAATTGCTATAGTCCTTCCACGTCTGTCTGGCTCAGGGCAGTGTTTTTCAAAAACTTTCTATTCCAAAATTTTAAAACTTTGTGCTTTCACTTAGAAAACAATCTGAAAAAAGTATATGTATTATATACTCATGTACATATGGGTACATGCGTGTATACTTGTGAAATAAATGAAAAGCCTTCCCTGGAGAATCTGGGTGGCCACCTTGTAAAGTATCCCCGAGCCTGCGGCGTTCCTGAAGATGCGGACCATCATGTTGGTGGTACCTGGTACTACTGGGCAGTCCAAGGCCACTAATAAAATTAGAGGTGAGCTGCACATGCTAAGAATCACTTCCCCCAAGGGAAGGCCTCATGACAACGACATCTGACAATTCTTACTCACCAAGGTTTTGCAGCAGTGTACATAAAGATAAGCAGTGAGAGAAGTGATGTTACAGGTACCCAGCAGTAAAATGACACCACCACCACCTTTTGAGCACTGACCATGTGTCAGGCACTCTCTAAACACTTTATGTCTCTTAACTCATTTAATCTTCCCAGCGTTCCTTTGAAGCATTATCACCTTTATTTCACGGATGAGAACATCAAGGTCAGAAAGGTTGAGTAACTTGCCTAAGGTCACAAAGCTGGTTAATGGAAGACTCGGGCAGTCTGCCTCCTGAGTCCACATTCTTAACCACTAGACTGCACCTACGCTTCTCAGGGATAATTATAATTCACACCCAACGAACACAAAAGAAGCTATTCAGGGTTGTCAATCCTCTATTCACACAGCAAACTGCAATTTGGTTTCCACAAAACATTAAATTAATACACTTCATTTGGAATGTTAAGTGTTTTGTACTTTTCTTTATGTTTAATTTGTAGATGTTTTGATTTTATAGCTGTTAAGAGTTATAAGCACAAGGTATTTATGCCTAATTTTGAGTTATAAACATGTAAGTAATATAATAAAAGTAACTTAAGTGAACTCTGAAGTGTTGGTGAGAATCTTTACCATTAAAACACACACTCCAAGAGATGCTGGTCTCTGGCTCTTGACTAACTTCAAGCCCAGCTCTCAGAATGATGGTGCCGGATGTGTCCGCGCATCTGTGTGTTCAGTGCTTGCTGGTTCCTCACATCGCTGCCCAGTGTTGGTCTGTACATCCTGACCCTCTTCCTTGAGTTCCCAAATAACACCCAGGACAACACTTCCCACACAGGGTGGATGGTTGCTGATTCAACGGCCTGAAGCTGGAATTTTCCAATCACAAGACTCATGAGAGATAAAGGCAGGACACATGACAGAGGGAAGGCTGGCTGGTCTGTGGGAGGAGGAAGAGACAACGAGGGACTCAGGTGAATGAGCCTATGTCATACCACGGCCCAGCCATCTCTCGTGTGGGGACTGCTCCTCCCCAACACGTTATACCTAAATCCTTCTGTTTGACATTTGAAAATCCTCTCCAGTGTGCTCAGTGCTCAGAAGCCATTTCTGGGGCCTGCCAGATGTTCTCGTGTGTGCAACTCACTAAGAGGCATCTGATTTAATTCTCAAACAGCCCTATGAGGAAATCTCCATTTTAAAGATGAAGAAATAAAACCTCAAAAAGAGTCAGCAGTTTGCCCGACATCACCAGACGCGTAAGTGGTGGAACAGGGCTTGAAACTAGATCTGCTCCCAGTCCAGCCCATCGCAGCCAATCCCGCTGTTCTCCCCACACCAGGCAGGACCCCCCAACCCCCCGCCGTAAAGGCCTGAACCAAGGGGGGCAGAGAGCAGCAGGAATGGAAAAGAAGGCCCTAAACACAGACTGACGAAACATGGGTCCAAGGAAGAGGTGCTTAATCAAAGGCTGTCGTTTTTTACCTCTTAGATGAGCAAATATCCAAAAGTGTGATAACACCCTCTGTTGACAAGGCTGAGAGGACACAGGTACATTCCTGCTGGAATATAAACAGGCAATGTCTGGGAACATTACAAATTCACTTCCCCTTTGGCTCAGCAATTTTGCTTCTGGGAACTTACTGAACAGAGACACTTGCACAGAACTAAAAGACCACGTACACCAGCTTATTTACAGAAATGATGAAAGGATCTTCTCCAAAACAAGGTGAAGAATAGTGCAGTTATACTAACTTTTGTGGAAAGAGGTGGGGGAATAAGAAATAACAAACAAAAATTTTTAAATCTGTATATTCATATTTGTTATAGATGCATTTAGAAACATTGGAAGAATTTGCAAGAACTTAATAATTATGCTTACTGGGTGGAAAAGACTTTTCACTGTATACATCTGAGATTTTTTTTAAGCATAAAAATAGATTATCTATTCAAAAATTAATGTTAAAAAGCCTGAATGAAGACGACTCTGCCCAGGCTCCCTTCTTTAGTCAAGTTTGTCACCCCATTCGTCCTCCTGCACACACTTGCTTGTCCCCCGTTGTCTACACCTCCTCCAGGGATCATTCAGGATCGTGTCCTCCAGGAGATCTTCTGAGGGCACAGAAGACCACCCTTATGCCTTATGCTTTTTGGAAGTTGTAAATACAGCTCTGAACTATTAGTTTCCCTCTCTCTAGATGAAGACACTAATATTTTACATGGAGTCTCAGAGAGATTAAATAACTTGTAAGGTCGCCCAGGACAGTGAGAGCTTGAACCGTCTGAGCCTGGTCTACACCCCTTCTCCTCACGGCCCCCATCTGCCTCCGGTTACAGCTCCCAGCCACTCCAGACCCTGAGGAAGAGAGATGATGTCCCCTGTGTCTTTCTTTACGCCCTAACAGAGTTCCGTGCTGAGTGACAGGCAATCACGTGCTAAAGGAAGGAAGGGAGGCAGGGAAAGAGGAAGAGAAGAAAGAAGGAAGGACAAAGAGAGGAGGAAGGAGTGGCAGAGGGGCACTCACTCTTGCAGAGACGGGTCTGAATCATCGGCATTTGCTGTTCCCGGGTCTGAGTCGAAGGACATGGGCTCCTCAGAACGGTCTGGACTCTTGAAGCCATTCTCTTGGAGTAGACAGCTATCAGAGTTCAGGCTGCAAGACAGCTGGGATGAACTGGCCGTGTCCAGGCTGAGGGAGGAGGCGGTGAGCTTCCTGTTCCGCCGGATCTTATGGCCCGAGTGCTGGACTTCGATGTCCTCCGAGCCTGAGGAATGGGAAATGGAATCCAGAGACTCCTTCCGCTGTAGTTCTGTACCGGAGGTAGTGAGAGGGTCGAGCTCAGAGAGTGGGCACAGCCCAGAGAGGGCCAGTGGGGTAAGCGTCCACTCGTTGAGGATGGCGGACTTGTAGGAGAGTTCGAAGGATAAGGACGTTAGTCCCTGCAGGAAGCTGAGCAGGAACTCGCCCTCCTCGGCGTCTCGAAGCAGGGCTGTGGGCTGATAGTACTCGCACAGTCGGGCCTGCTCCTGGAGCAGCAGTTTCAGGTAGCACTCCATCAGGCCGTCGTTGAGGGCCAGGCGCAGCCAGGCCCGGCAGCGGCCCACATCCGTGCTGACAAAGATCAGGTGCTCCAGTTCCGAGATAATGTGTCTGAGAAGGCGGGGAAGAGACTTGTTTCAAAAAATGACCTCAAATCACTGAGAGGTCGTTTTATCCACTGGTTAGCAAGAGCCAATAACACCGACCACAAATACATATAGGCCTGAAAAATTCTTGGATAATAGGGTTCTAAGGGGAATTTAGAAATACTAAGCTATAACCCCCAACTTTTTGAGGTAGGTGTCACGAAGGATAATTGCTATTTTTTGTTACAACTACCCCTTGGGCTCCTGACATCATCTGCTCATGCAAGACATGTCTGCTGAGCCCCTAAGTGCGAGGTCCTTGGAGCTGTGAAGACCCAGGGTAAAGACAAGGGCCCTGACCTGTCCAGGTAACTGCCTTTCAAGGGCACACTGGGGTGAGCCCTGTTGTTGGCAGAGTTGGGGTGGGGGTCTGGGCAGTCATTTCCAGACTGGAGTAGAAAAATGCCACAGAAAGAGCAGTATCTGAGCCAGGCCTTACGGGATTTCAAGAGGCAAAGATGGAAGGAGAACCTTCTAGGCACAAGGGACTGACAGAAAAAAGGCATAAAGGGTAGGAAAGCATCAGACCTGTAACAAGAGCGGGGACACTCCAATTACAACATGGGGTGGAAGAGTGGGTGATTTGGTTGCAAAGCCAGGTAACGCAGGGTCTTGTGTATCAAACTAGCGAGGCAAAGTGGGGCAACGGTCGCCACCCCTGGCTGTGCATCCGAACCACCTGAGGAACTTGGTCAGGATACAGATTCTGAGGCCCCAACCTAGTAAATCAGACTCCGGGCTGGCATTTGGAAGCCGCAGGCTACAGGTTTTGCACAGGAAAGTGACCTGACCACAGCTATGCAGAATTCAGGGGGGCTGTTCTGGATAAGATCAGACACCCCCCCAACTCCGCCCAGCTGACTGACCTAAGGAAAGACAGAATGAGATAAGAGGGACAATTAGAAAGCCACTGTCACCCAGGCGTGAGGTAAGAACCTGAGATAGGGCAGTGGCAGTAGGCACAGAAAGGAAGATTAGAGACTGACAAGGCACCTTTGGCTGAATGTGGCATTTAATCGCCCTTAGAGACGTAGTACCAGCTGCTTGCTCCAAAATCCAGGCAGTTAGGGCCAGGGCCACAGAGACAAGTGTCTCAGGTGCACATTCAGATGCTCTACTGGGATTCCACTCTTTAAAAAAATCCCACCTCGTTATAAGTATAACATTTAGCACAAAGATATTCAAATATTCTAAGGCAGAGCCAGCAAACTTCTGTAAAAAGCCAGACAGCAAATACTTTAGGCTTTGCAGGCCACACGACCTCTGTTGCAACTACCTAATCGTGCCAGGTGTAGTCCAAAGGCACCTCCTGCTAAAGGCCACCAGCCCAGGGGCTCAAGGCAGCCCTAGGCCATTGCCTGAGCTGAGGGGCTCCATCAAGCTTGGTCCACCTCACCCGTCTCTACTCTAGAACATAGAGCATCCCCTGCTTTCCAGCAGAGCTGGAGACAAAGAGCCCAGGGTCCCACACCCTGAAGCTCCTCCCCAAAGCAAAACCTCCCCAGCTGATCTCACTTGTGGGTGACAGCTTTCAGGAGGGGCCAGAAGACAGGCTGAGGCAGAGGCTTCTGGTGGGGACTCTTCTTCCTCTTTCCTCCCGCCTCGGCTCGGATGTGCTTGGCGTGCAGGCCGTGGATAAATACGGCCTCCAGGGCGCTGCACATGGTGTTGGCATCTCCGTCTTCACTGGTGACCACTGTGTCCGAGGACACGTACTGCTTCTGCAACGCCTTCACGGATCCCACTAGCTTCTTCTTGATGACCTAGGCAGGGCCAGACATAACACTAGCCTGTAGAAGATCCTACGGCGACCCCAGGAACGTAACTCTGCCGTCGCCAAATACATGCTCAACCACGTGTGTGCACACTCGTATGTATGTGTCTACACAGCAAAACCAGCACATGCTAACTATAGAAAATAAAGCATAGAGAAGAAAAGAAAATCACATACTTACACCACCCAGAGATGCTCTTATTTTTTGGCAAAGGTATTTATTTTTTCGTTTTTCATACTAAACTTCAGTGACCAGAGAGCCATGTAAATCTTACGTTTAAATATTGGCTCCATCACAGTTACAGCTATGGGAGCTTGAGGAGTTCCTCTAGGACAGGGGTGAGGCCTTCCACCTTATTTACATGACCAAGACTCCACAGAGTCAATAAGCTAAGAGGCAAAAAGTGTTGCTTTACAACAATAACACCACCAAGAAAACAGAGGGTGGTCTACAACAAGAAGGATCCTACACCTGGCGGTCAGAGGCCTAGGTTCAGTTTCAGCTCTGTCAGTCACCAGCTGGGTCACCTCAGACATTTCACTCACCCTCTCGGAGCCTCAATTCCCTCACCTGTTAAACGGAAATATTACTTCCTGATCTATGCACCGGGGGGGTCACTCCTTGAGGGCAGGATTAGTTTTTCATTCATCCTTGTGTCCTCACCACCTGGCATGGTTCTGGCACGTAGAAGTACTCAATAAATGTTTGTTAAACGAATAAATTATAAAATATACACAAAGTTCTTTGGAAATACAGAGTAAAGATGGTTCTATCATAATATAAGAAGGTCAAAATTACTTAAGTGTTGGGAAAAGGACTAGAAGGATTGCAGAAAAATTGGTTTGAATTGTTAGGTGATTATGGATAAATATTTTACTGTTTTATTTTTATTTTAGCCAAAGCTGTTCGTGTTAATGTTCTTTGAAAAGTTAAATGTTCTTTTTTATAACAGCTTGAATGAGACATAATTTCCCGGCATAAAATTCATTCATTTAAAGTACGCAGTTCAGTGGTTTTTAGTATATTCACAGAACTGTGCAACTACTGCCACTATCTAATTTTAGAGCATTTTGATTGCCCCCAAAATAAAGTGTACCCATTAGCAGTCACTCCCTATTCCCCTCTCCCTCAACTTTTGGCAGCCACTAATCTACTTTCTGTCTCTATGGATTTGCCTACTCTGGACATTTCACATAAATGGAATCATTCAATATGCAGCCTTTTGTGTCTGGCTTCTCTCAGCATATTTTCAAAGTTCGTCTATGTTGCAGTCCCTATCAGTACTTCATTCCTTTTTATTGCCAAATAATACTCCACGGCATGGATATACCACATTTTATTTATCCATTCATCAACTAATGGACACTTGGGTTGTTCCCACTTTTTCCCTACAATGTTGCTATGAATATTCATGCACAAGTTTTTGTGTAGACATATGTTTTCAATTCTCTTGGGTACATACCTAGGAATGGAACTGCTGGGTCATATGTAACTCTATGTTTAACTTCTTTGAGCAACTATCAGACTGTTTTCCACAACAGCTGCACCATTTTACATTCCCATCAGCAATGTACGAGGGTTCTACTTTCTCCACAACCCCACCAACACTTAGTTTGTCTGCCACTTAGATTACAGCCATCCTAGTGGGTGTGAAGGAGTATCTCACTGTGGTTTTGATTTGCATTTGTCTAATGTCTAATGATGTTGAGCGTCCTTTCATGTACTTATAGGTCATTTGTATATTTTCTTTGGAGAGATCCTTGGTCTTCAGGTAACCTATACTAAATCCCCATTGTTTTCTGTAAATCCTTATTTTGTCACCAATAACATGATCTAGAAAGGGTAGGATCTCCTCAGAGCCTGCTTCTGCTATAACTTTTTCTCAACCTGAGGGCTCTCTTTCTGGACAGTGGCTCATTTCAAAGTGAGAAAAACTGATGACATGGCTGTCCTGTGCCCCACTTCTCCACCCTTGATCCTCCCTGGCCACCTACCGGGATGGCAGCCCGGGGGTCCAGTCCATTCTCCACCACTGAGAGCATTTCCACTCATGCAGCAGCTCCTGCGGAGAATCACATGACACCTGCAGACACAGATGGCAGTCAGATGAGAAAGCTCCCAAGTCACCACCCTCAGCCACCCCCAACCCCTAGCAGGCAACAGGAGGTCAGCCAATCCGACTCAAACTGCAACCGAAAGGACTTTGAATACAAAAGTAAAAACTGAGAGTGGAGTTTAGGGAAGGAAATAAGGAAGGAAACAGAGTCTGAGGGCTGGACCTTGGTCGCTGAGGAGCCCTGTGTGCTGGGGGTGGGTCAGCCCCGAGGAGTGCGTGGAAAGGCTCTTTCCTCCACACTGAACGCTGGCACAGAAAGCAGGGAATGAGAGGCCCATTCAGACACAGAGCTGAGCATGCAAGGGAAGCTGCAGTGGAAGGTGCCAAGAACCCACAGGGAGCAGGAAGCAGGGCTCACTCACATTCAGGGCCTGGGCCCTGCAACTGCCCTGCTCCTGTCCCAGTCCAGCGTCTGCCACCTCAGTGATGGAAAGGACAGAGGAAACAGCTTCAGAGAGGAAGGCACCCTCGCTGCACATCTGCTTCTCCTTCGGGCTACGAGGGCCTAGCCTGAGCAAAGGGTTGTGTCTCAAGGGGAACAGCAGAGATTTTAATCTCAAATTTGCCACTAACCAGCTCGGCACACTGGGGTGCTGTACCAGACCTCTCAAATGGAACTTATGAATGTGGAAAACACCTAGCACAGGGCCTGATGTGTCTCAAGGATTAATGGTATCTATAACCCCAGGGGAGGTGGCCACCCAAATTTACAGACAAAGAATGCCACTGCCTAAATGAATATGCACAAGTCGCTGAAGTCAGTACACAGGTAAATCCCTCAGGGCAGCTGGCTTTCTCCTGGGGGTGTCTGAGGGTGAGGAGGGAGTGGGGGTGCAGGCCTCAGCCTGAGCTCGAGGGCAGCTGTTGGCTGGCCTGGTCCCACCCCAGTAACTTGGACAGACTGGGACCAGGCAAGCACATTCACATCTAGACAAATCTCTAGTGACCACACAGCTGAGCATGAGACCCTCCCAAAAAGGTTATTGGTGTCTCTGCTCTCAAAAACTTATGGCTCAAAGAAATTAATAAAACCAAGGCATGGGGCCAGTCCAGTGGCACAGTAGTTAAGTTCATGTGCTCTGCTTCAGCGGCCCAGGGTTCACAGGTTCAGATTCTGGGCACAGACCTAGCACTGCTCGTCAAGCCATGCTGTGACGGTATCCCGTATAAAAAAAAACTAGAGGAAGATTGGCACAGATGTTAGCTTGGCAACAATCTTTCTCAAGCAAAAAAAGAAAGATTGGCAACAGATGTTAGCTCAGTGACAATCTTCCTCACAAAAAAAAAACAACAAAAAAACCCCAACGCATGCTAAATGGGTTTTGTACCCTTTACATATATTGCCTCCGTAACTCCCACACAAGCACCTTAGGAGTGCTGTTTATTATCTCAACCTGACAGATAAGAAATAGAAGCTGCCCCAGGTCAAGGAACTCCCCAAGATCCCAGGGCTGACAAGTGGCCGACTCCACCACCAGCGGCCAGGACGATGGCAACCCCAGCTCAAGGTACAGCCCCAGTCTCCTGAATGAGTGCACTCACCTCCCTTCCAGAAGACGGGGTGTGAGCTAGGGCTAGGGTGTAGGGGGAGGGTTTGGGGAGGGGGCTGGGAGGAGGACTCTTCCGCTGGGCCCAGGCAAGGTGATGCAAGGGAACATTAGGACCAGTCTGGTGCAAAAGGTGTACGGGAGAATGGTGGGGCATGAGGTTTGGAAATGAGAGAAGCAGGGTGGCCCTAAATGGTGGAAGATGCTCTGATTCATCGCAGACCTCTGGTGTTGGCAGAGGGTAAAAGGACCCAGAGCCAACCTCCCTAAGTGCGGACACGCAGAGGGAGGCAGGTGTGTGTGGAAGATGGCCTCTGCAGAGCCAGCTCGAGCAGGGTGTGATAGACCGCCAGGAAGACACTGCCCCAGGCCACAGCCACTGGCTGACGGCCTCACCCTTCACCATGTTCCCCACCCGCCCGGGATTCTCACGGCCCTCCTCCGGTTACCAGCTCCACACTCTGGCCACCAGGGCAACAGGAAAAGGGGTGTACAGTGTGTATGAGTCCCTCCCGGAAACATGCGTGATCCTGGGGGCTGCGTTCCTTCAGGGCTACCTTCAGCAGCCCAGCAGGCCAATCCACGTGCCCTGGCTCCAGGACCCTGGGTCCAATCCCTTTCAGCAATTCCAGAGGCCTAAGGCCTCCCCTCAGGCCTGCCCTGCTAGCTGGAGCCTCAAGTCCCAAAATTGCCCTGCCTTCAGCCAGTCACAAGGCCAGGCCCAGGCCCGGAAGGGCTCAGACCTCAACAGTCTAAAGGGATAGCCTGGGTCCATCAAGGCCTCATTAACTAATTAACTGAAAATAACAGCGTATTCTTTGGAAGGAGGGAGGTTATCAGTAAGTGTGTGTCAAGTAACGGTCTGCTAAAAGACCAAAGTAAACCGATGCTGAGAGGTCAGAGCAAGGCCAGACAAGAGACCATAACTATCAGATAAAACAAAGCGTCAGGGGCCGGCCCCGTGGCCGAGTGGTTAAGTTCACGTGCTCTGCTTCAGCGGCCAGGGGTTTCGCTGGTTCAGATCCTGGGCGCGGACATGGCACCACAGTCAGGCCATGCTGAGGTGGTGTCCCACATGCCACAACTAGAAGGACCCACATCTAAAATATACAACTATGCACTGGGAAGATTTGGGGTGAAAAAACAGAAAAGACTCCCAAAAAACAGTGTCAGAAAAGCCACAAAACAACTGACAACAGTGCAGAGGAATCCAGGAGAACAGCCACTTAACAACTTACAAAATAGGACTGAGACTCCGGGGTTGAGCCCATGGCTTTCTTTGTAGGAAGCCAAGGCGCCCCACCTCTGCGTGTCTGTTCCACGGTGCCTCAGGGAGGCAGGAAACCGGCGCAGAGGCAGGGATCTGACAGCCTATGACCCCAGAACTCGCTGATGGAACCAGAACGGGGTTTTGGGTCTCCTGATTGCTGGGTCGGCGCTCCATCACTCTCCTGGATGGCCCAGACCCCCAGTCTACCATCCTATGGGACTGATTTCACTTTCTGTCCTCAGAACACTCTTCATTGACACCAAGAACCAAACCAAAGAAAGGGGTGACTTCAAGGAGACCTAGGCTGAAGAAAGTAAGGAGAGAACTTGGGCAACGCTCCCAAACGGCTCTTCCAACATCACTGGTGGTATTTAGCAGAAAAGCTGACTTCTGTCTGTCCTTTAGGAAACTCCAAACCACGTTAAGTCTGCCTTTCCCCCTAAGCATTGATTCACCCAGACACAGCGCTTGAAGCTTCTCTGATCTCACTCTAATCTCATTTAATTCTGTTTAACAGGAGAAAACGGAGGCTTAGTAGAAACGGGCCCCAGACAAGGGACAGAATTCTCTGGTTTCCTCATTCCAAGTCCTGTGCCTTTCACCAGATCAAACTGTATCAGGCCTTTGGTTCGAAGAGTTTCAGGTAAACTTATTACTTATAGACTTTTTTTTTTTTTGAGGAAGATTAGCCCTGAGCTGACACCTGCTGCCAATCCTCCTCTTTTTGCTGAGGAAGACTGGCCCTGAGCTAACATCCATGCCCATCTTCCTCTACTTTATACGTGGGATGCCTACCACAGCATGGCTTGCCAAGCGGTGCCATGTCCGCACCCGGGATCCGAACCGCCGAACACCAGGCCGCCAAAGCAGAATGTGCAAACTTAACCGCTGCACCACCGGGCCGACCCACTTATAGACTCTTAAGAGGCGCTCAGAAGCTCTATTTTATCAAATAAGGCTTAAAATCAATAAGAAACAATCTTGCCCATCAGATCTGTCGCCCTAACCAGCTGAGCCCAGGTCCTCTCCCTGGTACTCAAGTTTCAGAGCTGTCTTCTCTTAAAAATTCCAACATACAGTTAGAAAGGAGTTGTTCTGGTTGTTTTTCTTCATTATACTGCCTGGCCTTCTATAAACATCCAATTTCACTTCCTCCAGAGGCCAAGAAAGAAAAGAGAAGAATGGCTTCAATGAAACTTACATTAAAAGAAGAAATGGATGACTTGGTGTCACTGCTTTTGAAACACTCCATCCATCAGTAAACAGCAACCTCTTCCCCTTAGAGACTTCTCAGCCATTCCCCACAGCCTCCTCTCACTGGCCTGAATCCAGTCCTGTAGCTGGCTGTTCAGAACAACAGCCTGCCGTTTAAGCCATCCAGCTGCTGTACCAACTGATGAGTCATGTTTTTCAGATGGCAAAGAATGACAAAGTTATCAGTTGGAAAAGAATGACAAAGTTATCTTCTGATTCAGAAAAGCAGCTGATCTTTCAGACACATGAGTGCTGAATGAGTAAATAGCACCTCCTTCCACCTGAAGAAAGTTGGATTTCGGGACAAGTGTCCTGTGAGGGGTGGGACAGAGGGGGTGTGCTGGGGGAACTAGGCCTTCGAAGCAATGAATACCAGCTGGAGGGAGAGAAACTTCGAGCTTGTGATTCCTAGACCAAGGACTAAAGGTGAGGCCAGAAATGTGAAGTCAGTGGACACTGGCTATCTGTCTTTCTTCCCTCCAATAACACCCATCTCCTCCGTATTCTTAGGATTCTAGCAAGGACCAAACTTTGAATGAATAAAAACAGGAACTTCCCCCGATTCATTCACCATTGCATTTCTAATACCTAGAACAGTGCAGGGCACCCAGTGGTACCCAAAAAATACTTGCTGAATCAACTGATGAACAAAATAAAATAAGGCTCAGGGCAGGTATCTCCATTTCACAGATTGTGGGAAGCTGAGGTCTACGACTCTCCAGTGGGGGGGTGGGGGGTCACTGTGGAACTCCTTCCTTTAAACCAAGCTGAAAACCATTCAGATATATCGCACCTTAAGGGGGGAATATTGAAGGTAGAAGGGCATTTAATTTTCAGAGGAACAAGACTGTAAACAGCAAGCAAAGAAAATGGGTCCTGTCTGTAGCTCTTTAAATTGCTGTCAAATAGCCAACCCTCTGAAGCTAGGTCACCAGAATTTGGAGAGAATGTGCACCCACAAAGCCCAGGAGATTATAAATGCTGAGCACAGGGCCTGAGTGACTCAGGAATGTCCCTCTGCCTTGGCTACTCTGAGATAACACAGCTCCCTGTGTTCATGGGTAATCAAAATGGCCAAAACTCAATGATCCAGCACCTGCAAAAAGAGGAAGTGATTCAACAGCCTCTGTATCCATCTATGCCTCAGCCTCCCCAGAATCCACACACCTCTACTCTTCACAACACATAACATCACCTCTCGCATCCACTGTGCTCCCTGTGTTCAGTGTTGGGACTGATCCGCTATCAGCTCTAGCCAGGAGGAGCACTAGGTGAGGCTCCTTTACAAGTACCAGGACAATCCACAGGGATGTGGTTCTGTGACCACAGCCAACCCTACACAGTGGTATTTGCTGAGTTTCCCCAGGGCCAGAACACCAGCCAAAAGGAAGTGATGGCTGCTGCCCCCGGATGAGTGAGCTAGGTGTGTGGCCATTCTTCACCTTCCAGGTATTTGGATGATACCTACCATTCCAGATGCCAGCCAAAGTAATTTAACGTGAATGCTGACAACACAGTCCCTAAGAACAGGTACAGGGAATCAGACACCCAGGAAAAACCCCTAACCCAAGAGGGGGATCTCTACTCCTCCACACTTATTTACCCTCTGGGGCCCACGCACCAATCAAGCTGCCCAGTCTCTTAACAGCCCAGCTCTGAGCAAGCACCTAGATTTGGTTGTTGAGTGGCAGCTGGTGGGGTTGGCAGGGGACCCTGCACTAAGTTCTCATACTGAAAGGGTCTGGGTCAAGGAAAGAATGGGTGCAGAGTGGGAGTGAAGAGTTGAGGTGGGGACAGCAGAGGTGAAGGGACATGGAGACCTCATTGTTAATAAGATGGGGTGAGGGTGGTAAGAACTGGGGCAGCAAGAGTTGGTGGCAGTCTAGAAAAGACTTAGAGATGAAGTGTCCTCAGGATGGTTGGAGATAGTAAGGAAGGATACGATGGGCTAGGAAGTTACGGGTTGAGTCTGGGAGGACAAGAAGATACATACAAGACTTAGAACAGGACTGTGATCAGAGTTATCACGAAGAAAGGGGTGAGTCAAAACGGCATCTACCTTGGTGGTGGGTCTTAAATGAGAGTGGGACAAAGATAGAGTGTTTAGGTTGAGGAGACCTTGAGGAGCTGAGCAGAGGGTTGTGGGAGATTGGGATAAGAAAGCTGAGCCAGAAAAGGGCAAACTAGAATGGTGGGTCTCTAGGACGTTTGCGTGGAGCATTAGGATTGCCAAAGGGGTTGAGGGGTGAGGACGTGATGTGTTAGAGGGAGGCGGAGAGATGGAGATCGGGGTTGGAACTGGGCTAGACTGGGGTCAAGGAGGAGGCTGCCTTTACGTAAGACCGGTGGTGAGGGGACGGGGTTAGGGATGGGGTCACGCCACGGGTGGGAGAAGATGGAGGGGACAGGCCAGCAAGGGCAGTGCGGGCCGAAGGCTAGGGTCGGAGTAGGGTGGGGCGCGGGGCGCGGGCTGGGAAGGGTGAGGGCTCTGAAGCAGGACCGTCGCGAGGCAACCAGGGGTTTGGGATCACGGAGAGAACTGCTGGCCCATCGTCCGTTCGCGTCTCAGCCCCGCCGCCCCTCCGCGGCCCTCCTCGCCCCCGACCCCGAACTCACCAAAGGGAGCGGGGAGGGGGCGGGGGTACTCCCGGCCGCGGCTGCCCCTAAGCCTCAGACCCGACGCTGCGGCCTCCCGGCCACTGACAACAGGAAGCGACGCCGGAGGCGCCTGACGCCATCACGTAGGCTCCGGCCCCTCCCCCGGCCGCGGAACCAATCGCGGGGCCCGGAGGAGCCGCGGGGCGGGGCCAGCGCTCTCGGAGTCCCGAGGGTTCCCAACCTCAGCGTGGGTGCGGGGTCTTGGGAGGCTCGGACCAGCGCGGCACGGAGAGGCGATGCCTCCGCTGCCAGGCGGAACGCGCCCTCACTGCCAGCTTCCAGCAGGGCTTGCGTTGGGCAAGATCCTGGCTTCTGGGTTCCTGACCTCGCCTGGCCTCAGCATTATCTGCGTATCATTGGGGCCGTCACTTGGCCGCCTTCCACGAAGATTGCCCACTTGTAAAATGCGACCAATAATGCCTACCCTATTTTTGCCTCCCCGAGGGCGTCAGCGCAGCCCAGCGAGCAGAGCGCAGGCCCAAGTTGGAGCCTCCCGCCTGGCGGCTCTCAGGAAAAACATACATGTTTTGACCATACCTTATACCAAGGGATCGCCTGAGGTCCCCTGGGCATTCAGCCCCCCCATCAGCTCCGTGCAGCATGAAGCTCAAGGGTCCGCTTATTCTCATCCAGCCATGTAGTTTGCTTTCCATCGTAGAAGTGACGTTTTTCTTTCAAATTGACTCAGAACAAAAAGTCAAAAGTAGCAGAGGGTGCGCTGCGGTGCTCCAGACACTTCACACATGCAGGCTTTGAGTCAATTGGGAGCCCAGTGCCTGGGTTTTGGCGGCGCACGGAGAGGTGCGGTTACATTCAGGTCTGGGGGTCCTTGGGGATGGCTACAGGGCTGGCTGGGGAATAGGCCAGTTCTTAGAAGCAAGCTCCGCTGATCTCGGCCCGGGGTCCTGTGCTCCAACAGCCCATCCGAGAAGGAAGGTGTCCCTCATTTCTCTGGGAAGGTCGAGATCCCAGTGCCTGTCTCCATGGATAAAACCGGCTGTTGGGAGCGTCGCCCCCCACGGTGTGGGGGCTGCCCCTTCAGTAATTCTCTCTCCAGGAGTGAGAACTGCCCCTCCTGGGTGTTAGGCTAGATGAGTCTGAGTGCTGAGTGTGTTCACTACAGTTAGTGGTTGAGCAGGAAGATTAGAAGTAAGGACATAGAGGCTAAATATTCTCTTGGTTGTTAAACTCATTTTTAACAAGGTAGAAAGTAAGGGATATACTAGGGAAATCTGGTTACTTGCAAAAGGATAGTGTTTCTGGTCATAATTGGCACAGCAAGAGTATCAGTGACTTGGCACAAGTGTGACCCTCAAACATTGCACAAGCATGCAACATCCCTCAGTTATTCCACTGAGTTTTGGGGCAGCTGCTGGCTGCAAAAGCTGTGGGAATCCAGCAGTGTAATCTCTTGTCTGCCTTTTCAGGAGCCCCCATATCCTGATCTTCTCTTACTTCCCAGGCCTCTCCACCTCTCTGCAAAGTCTGCAGGCTTGTCTTCCTCTACATCCCTTTGTGAGGCTAAATAAAGCTATGGATCTGGGGCTGGGGTCGGGGGTGGGGGGTGCTGTGAAGGAGAGGGAAACGCACACACATGGTGCACATTTCCACAAAAGATTTCATATATGGACCATGAATCCACCAGGTAGACCCCAGCCAGAGAAAAAAATCTCACATTACCTTGTGATTTGAACAATAATAAAGGCACCTGCAAAGTGCTATGGAACTTAAGAGCTTGAAAGGTATCCTGGAGGAAGCAACTTTTGATCTGAGGCTTCCAGATGACTAGAGGAAAGGGCATTGCAGATAAAGGGACTGGCAGAGAAATGGCCTGTGCATAGGAATGCCGGCTGAGCTGAGGGGAGGGTGCACCAAGAGGTAGAGAGGAAGCTAGGAAGTAAGAAAAGGAAAGACTATGGGGAAGGGGTCAGAATGGAAGGGGAAATAAAGTTAGATTGGGCAAGGGGCAAAGGGGTTTGCATAGACACAGTTGGAGGCCAGTGCAGGAAGGATGCAGAACTTTTGCAAAGGCACTTCACATCCCACTGGTCTATCAGCTTAGATTTCAATTACTATCCAGAGTTATTAAAAGCCAGACAGCAGGGGCCAGCCCCGTGGTCGAGTGGTTAAGTTCGCGCGCTCCACTTTGGCAACCCAGGGTTTTGCTGGTTTGGATCCTGGGCACAGACATGGCACCACTCGTCAGGCCATATTGAGGCGGCGTCCCATGTGCCACAACTAGAAGGACCCACAACTAAAATATATACAACTATGTACTGGGGGGATTTGGGGAGGAAAAGCAGAAAATTTTTTTTAAAAGATTGGCAACAGTTGTTAGCTCAGGTGCCAATATTAAAAAAAAAAAATTTAAAAGCCAGGCAGCAGAACTGCAGGATCCAAATTCCTTGGGGACAGGTCCAACATGCAGATTCCTGAACCCCACCCCAGCCCTAAAGCGTCACTCTAGGATGAGGTCCAAGAATTTGGGTCTGCCCACCCCTTGTGTCCCCTGCTCTCACCACCGATGGATCTAAAGCATAATAAAATGTGAGAATCTCTTCCCTAACCTAGAAGATGAGGGATAAGGGATTTAACCTTTGTGGAAAGTAGAAGCTCCTACTGTTTGCCAGGTAGGAACTGTGATCTGTCCTTACCACCCACTGGGAAGGTAGGTGCCATTGTTATCCCCACGATACAGATAACAGGTTTAAGAGAAGTTAAGTAACCTGGGGGCCCAATGCCATACAACTAATAAATGATAGAAGCAGCATTCTCACCCAGCTCTTTCTGATTCTAGTTGGAGAGGTAGCACAGTTCACTGACAGAGCAACTGGGCTTTGGAGTCAGGAATGCTTAGGTTTGAGTCCCAGCTCTGCCCCATACCATTTGCTGGGCCCTCCCAAGACAGTGCAGGGCCTAGAGCAACCCAACAAGTGTGGGTCCAAGGCAATTGCCACACATTCAGTATTTTTTGTAGGCCCCTTGAGATAGCATTGAAGATAGAAAGTTCTAAATTGAATTTTATTGATGTTCAGAAAAGAGAAGTAAGTTACAACACCCTATGGCCCCTTAGCCTCAGACAGAGAGGCCAGAGTGTGTGACTTCAGGGAAGTTCCCCAAACTCTCTGAGCCTCAGTTCCTCATCTGTAAATTGGAGAAAATATCAGTTGATGTGAGGATTAAGGAAGACGACATCCTTAGGACAGTTTCTGTTCTGTAGTAAGCACCCAAAGATGACTAGCTATAATTATGACGGTTCAGGCTAATTCTCACCTTCCCAATCCAGTTGGGTCCCTGCCTTTAACTGCACTTCTGAGCACTGGAGTGAGAGCCCTTCTTGTTGGATCCCCAGATATATCCTTACTTGGCATCTGATTGAAACCATCAAATGAGTAGTAAAGCAACCATCTCTCTTCACAAGGGTTCTGTTGTAGGAAGCTGGTTCTTCCCACTGTTTTTCCCACCCCCCCTGAGGAAGATTAGCCCTGAGCTAATATCTGCCAATCCTCCTCGTTTTGCTGAGGAAGACTGGCCCTGAGCTAACATCTGTGCCCATCTTCCTCTACTTGATACATGGGACGCCTACCACAGCATGGCTTGCCACACGGTGCCATGTCTGCACCTGGGATCCGAACCGGTGAACCCTGGGCTGCTGAAGTGGAACGAGTGAACTTAACCGCTGTACCACTGGGCTGGCCCCCCAACTCTGTTTTAAAAAATGGATTTAAAATTTTTTATTATTTATTTGTCAATTATGCCTCAATAAAGCTGGAAAAATCACAAAATAATTAACTAAAAAAATTGCAAAAGATTCTGTTATACACCTAGTTTACAGTTGAAACAGCACTAAATGAAATGGCCATTAAACATAATGACCCGCAGCAGTTCCTTGCCCTGACCATCTGCACCCTCCCGAGCCGGCTCCCTGGGCTGGGTTGCTTCTGGAGAGCAGGTTTTAGCTGAATCTTCTGGTGCTTATTTCCATGTCTCTTGACTTCTGGTTCTTGATTTATCCACTTTAGACCCTGTCTGTTGACTTCCTAGTGACATAGGCAAGGAGTTCGTTCTTTTACACCCCCACCCCCACTCCATTCTTGGGCTTTAGTTATGTCACTATTTTCAAATAATAGTTTAAAGAATTGTGACTATGTAAATATTGTTCACCGCAGAGCTTAATAATATACTCGGATTACAGCCGTTGCCCCTCCTCCGATCCAGGTGTTTAATTTCCTCTCCCTTTCTGTACTATCTGCCACTATCACAGCCTCACTTCTCCAGTGCTCTGCTGTAGCAGTTGGCGCCGGTTTCCCTCACAGCCCTCTCTCCGGGTCTGTCCTCCAGTGTGTTCTACTTACCTCTCCGGCTGCCCCCCTGGACCTTCCCCCCACCTCTTCCCCGGGTTGAGCCTTTTCCTGGCTCCCTTCTCTTCTTGCTTTCCTTACTGTGTCTTTGCTGGAGCACATCCTCAGTTAAAGATCCCTACCTAATATTAAAAAACAGGATGGTCTTTGGACCTCCTCATGATACTAGTTACACTTTTAGTATCCCGCGATTGGGGAAAAAATACATAAGGACTAAAAATTACCATGACGGCACTACTGCTTTTATGTGAATTTGTGTTTTACTTACCACAACATCATCTATAAACATTTGAAAACCTGTTACGAGTTTAGGCTTAAGGGTTAGTTCCATCTAGCTTCAATCTTTGATCCTTCATTGGCCACCTACCCCTTTCTTCTGATAATAGAACCTCCCTCTTGACTTGGAGGAGAGCTACTTCTTGTGCTTTAGAGGGGACTGAAGTACTTCCGGCTTAAGGTCCCACCCAGCGTGTGCTCGTGACCATGGCTGGCCAATCAGGGTCTCCTCCTCCCAGACACATGGTCCAAGCAAGCCAATCAGAGGATGGTCTTTTCTCTGAGATCTCGGCTCATCGGCGATGTAGAGTTGGAATTACTAAGGACCGTCAGAGGACATGAGTCTTCCCGAGGCTGAAGGCGTCACAGAGGAAAGCAGAGCCGACGGACAGACGGGGAGAGGATGACTTGTTGGAGCCCTGGATGCAGCCAGCTTTAAGCCCTTAGGCTTCCCGGT